CACGTAGCTGCTATTCCACTGGAAAACGGTAAGACAGTAACTGCAAAATGGTGCACCCAAGAGTGCTTACCAAAAGTTTCCAAAAAATTTGTTAGAAAGAGGATTTGCGGCGCTACTTTTTACATCATGACAACGCGCCATCTTACACTGTTGAAATAAGGAGTAATTTTACTGCGAAATACGTCAAGCACCATAACACCCGGATGAAGCTCCTTGTGATTTCTGGTTATTTCCAAATATTAAACAAAATTAATAGAAACGAGTAGATAATTAACGTGGTTAATGCTGAACTTGATAAGCTTAAGAGGCTGTTTTCAGAAGTGGACCGATAGGATTGAGAAGTGCCTTGAAATCAATCGCGATTATGTAGAGAAGATAAAAAAGAACGAAGATTATAAATAAATACAAAAAAATTTTTTTTTTTTTTGGTCAACTTACCGAACTTTTGTTTATCGCCTCGTATACGTATATATGTATATATATATTTGTTTTTACTTGCTTCTAGAGAAGTTCCATTGTTCGTCGCAAACTACCACTTGTTATTGCAAATTTTTCATTCATTTCTCGGATGCTTAGTAAATTTGTTTTCATTTATTTGTCTGTCGCAAGGACAATGCAAGAAAAAAGTTATAATGTCTACTAAACAACAATTGACTTCGATTGTACCGATAAATTGGAGCAACAGAAGCGGAACGCATACCAAATAATGCAAAGCACCAAATGGAAGGAGGCTGCTTGGGTAGAAATCAGTGGGAAAATGCAAGTGAGCACAAAATCTCTTGCCGCTTTTCCACTCCGATGCATATGTATGTAAATTATAATATGTATAAAGAATAAATTAGGTTTAGTAAAAAGTTATCCATTATTTTTGCATGAAATTTAATGGTTCAATTTTGCTTTTCGTGTCCAGCATTATTTAAATGGTTCCAAACGGGTTTTTGTGCAATCTGTAGGGCAATCAAGGCAATCTGCAAGGCAATCAAAACAGCCATGATTTTATCGACATTTTCGACAATCGGCCTTCCAGTCTGTGCAGCATCTTTTACTTCAAAATTAATGGAATGAAACCGCAATAGTGCCTAATTGACCATAAACGCTAATCGTTAATGCCTGACGTGAGTTTTCGTTCTTATCGAAAAAAAGGCTGTAAAATATGGCGTATTTTCTCTTTTCTAGTGTCCATCTTTGACGCACGCTCAAACAAAAGTGAATCAACCAATCACAAAATTGTCAAAAAAAAAAACTTTTTTAGTACGAAATGTCATCTTTCTAACGCCGTCCAGTCAAACCCGATCGGATTTATACAACGCGAGATAAAGATAAATAACGCCATTTATTGGAAAAATAATGGATTTCTTTTTACTACACCGTATACTTTATGTTGAAAGGATTGCTCTCAAACATTTTTAAGTATTTGTAATGAAAAGATTTTATTCAGTTTTATAAATTATTTCAAAATTTCACCTAAACCAATATACCGTTATTAATTTATGTTATCTTATATGCATAAGAATGCAGGCAAGGATAAAATCAAACAACGGTAGTCAACAGTGTTGACTTTCTCTTCCGTGGAGCGACCAATTTTATTTAAATTATTTTTTAATAATCTTGAATATTGATCGGGCCAGTATTCGAAGTCATAACCTTCCGTATGATAGTACACACTGACAATCATTGCTATACACTGCGACCACCAAGTGCAGCTTCGTTCGATAAACTGTACTGTTCCATTATCCAACGAGGATTCATGTATTTCCTGATTAAATAACATCGCTCAAGAATCCTTTATTTTCCACCTACGGAGATGCTCGAAAGTTTCAAGTAAATCCACCGCTAACATTAGCAGACAGTTGCTAAATTGTAATCTTAAAACGAGTATATGGATATTTACTTTAGCATAAACGTAATAAGTTCAAATAGATAAATAATTTTCTAAGCAGTAGTCTATTGTGCCCTCCGATTTCTTCACATTATTCAATCAAACCTAATGCACTTATAAAACATATCTGACTGGAGAGGCTTATTTATTTGATCTCGTATCAAATCGAACCGAATGTGCACCGGTATTTTTGGTAATAGCTCACAAAGCGACAAGTTACATATGCCTACGCAGTATGTAATATCCTGTAAGAAATCCTGTTAGTATTCTTAAGTTATTCTCACTTACTAAGTAATATTATGTTTTTAAATCTTTTGGTATTGTAGCCGTCTACAAATTTCTTTGATGGTCTCATCCCCTCACTGGTGTTCCAGTACCCGTTTCTTATATCCATTGTGAGAGTGAGTGAGAGCCTAAAGGGAAGAAGGGCTTAGCTCCAGTAGAAGAGATTGAGTCGGCTTCTCTTGTAAGTCTATCTGCCTCTATTTGATTATCATTTCCTTCAATGCCTGTACGTGCCGGAACCCAGAAGAGCTCAATTCCCATACCATATACGTCTTAATTGTACATGATGATATCGCTTTCAGTGCGACCTGACTGTGACTTCAAATTACTGCATGTTAGTTAACCATATCTTTTTTCAGTATGAGCTCTGCACATGTTGTAATGGCGAACACCTCTACTTGAAAGATGCTAGAGTATTTCTTCATGGGTATTGATATCTCTGTTCTTTGCGCGTGATCCCCGCACATATTTTATCAGTAGTCTTTCATCTATCTGTGTACCACACATGAGAGTGTGGTTTTATTTCTTTCTGTACCTCAGTTTGGCTTCGAAACTTCTTATCTTTTATTTTTCATCTCTATTGAAGAAAGTTAGGTTAGGTTGCTTAGTTACTTTCACCTGCTTCCTAGAAAGACTCTGAAAATCGTGATGCCTTAACAACAGCATATAATTGGATGATAACGCCACAATCACTTAATAACCGTGACTTAACACCATAAGATTACCATCATTTTCATACCCTTGAAAATCATTTGAATGATAAAGCATGCGATTCTGATGAGGCTGTAAGAAAGAAGTTGTAACAGTTGTTCGCCGTTAATAACATGAGGTTTTTCGAAAGTGGAATTTTCCGGCTTATTTTAAATTGGTTAATGTTTCTTGTTATTATAATAAATTTTTTTTTACAAAATAAACATGTTCGTTACCACACTACGAGAGTGGATGGAGCAGCAGTTCCACGTACGTTGTTATGCGTTCTATGTGTTCCATATTCCATGTATGTCACGAAGTAGAATCGATGATGAACGAACTTATGTTTATCAAAATTTCATATGAAGAATTTACGCAAAACGTTTATACCCGCGAATCAGCCTTAACTTTTTCGTTTCATTGATTACAAAGACGTCGAATATGTCTCTTAATAGGAAATGAAATGCATGACCTTAAAATGTATGCCACCAGCCGTTGTTACGGGCTTATGTTTCACTAAAGACTTTTTGTATTCCAAAATTTTGTACATTCAAATGGGATGCCATTATGTTTTAAAAATGATTTCGGCACGTGATCACACCTGATGACTCAATCATATCGGGTTTACCTGCGATTACAAACGAATTCACATTACCTCACAAAAACTATTACAGCGGTGTTAAATCACACAATCTTGGAGGCAACCCCGTAGCTTCAAGACGCGCTCAACAAAAGTTTCCTTAAATAAATTGATTGTTTCCTTGGCTGCATGGAATTCAGCCTCGTATTTTTAGAACCAAAAGTCGTACTCATCAACACCCTCAGGTCAATTCAGGCTCGAAAACCATGGCTGTGTAGTATTTTTCACTGACCGACCGATTCATTTTTCATTATTCATATTGACCGACTCAATTTTGAAGAAATATAGACTAAGGATTCCCTCTGATTCCATTGACGTCCCAACAATAGCTTATCATCACTCCAAATACGACCATCTTGTTTATTTACTCAACCATCTAATCAAAAGTGTGCTTCAGCGCTGAGCAAAATTTCTCATGTGAAAATCGGGATTGTTGGCAGAGAGTGCGACGCGATGGTCGTTCGGCTTCAATTCTTGCACAAGTTGGATTTTGTAATCCCGTAAACCAGATCCTCTCGCAAAATTTTCCACAAAATGGAGAGGCACAACCCTAGCTATTGCGCGCGATGGAGAATGAACTCATTCGTGTATTCTTTGATACTCCACTAGAGTGCGAAACCGATCCACGGTTGCTCGAATTGCCGACTATGCTAATCGATTATGTCCACCAAATTTTGGACGCAATGCGCGACCGGAACTATTATTTACAGTTATTTAACATACCTTTTAGCATTACCACTGACACGTTACCTTCTCAGTAAACATCAAGTCTCCCTATGGAACTACGCGAATAACAATTTGGCAAAAATCACTTTATTACTTATACAAGACCATGTTAAAAATAAAATAATAAAAAATGGCAAAAATTATATTATACACACGGTACACGGTAGGTACGAAGGTAATTTCAAGGCATTACTATGGATTCACTGCGAACGAGAGCTTTTTTCATGGCGTAAATCATAGCATAAATGAAAAGAGAGGCAAAAAAATTTTACAAGGATATTTTTGGGCGAAGGGTGAGTGTACAAATGCAAGAACTCCCTTAACATGTCTGCCAAAATACCGGCTCCACAGACCGCTTGTGCCAAATTCGTGTAAAAGGATTGCAAATATGCGAGGTATCACTTACATTCACCTTTGACCTTCGTATGTACGTGTGTAGCGATGAATGGATTAGTAAATGGTTAGCCGGGATAATCGGAGGGTGATAGGCAAAAGAAAATGTTACTAAACGGACATGCCAACACCACAGACTGGCACTCCGTTGGGGAGAGTACGGTTACACTTTACAGAGTGGAAACTCACTTTGAGTGGACAGCAGTAGGCAGGCAACAGCTGCAAATTTCTTCTTTTCCGGCTGGTTTAACTGAACCTTGAACTTTGATTGTTATTTAAGGAGTTTAAATTTCAAGCATTCAAAAGGTAATGCAAATATACTCGTATATGTAAACTTACGTTAAAATCACCTATACTCCCCCGTTTAGAATTGGATTAATAAACAGATTTCTTGCTCGATTAAAATTATTAATGAGAGATTTTTGAAAACAAAATAAATTTGCTACAGCATAAAGTTGCATTATTACGCTTGGCTGAGAAAAAGGGAAAAACACAAAAAATGTACACATAGATTTTAAGATTTGCCGAAAGTTATTCGGTTTCCACACCACCGTACAGCGTTCCTCATTTCTGCGCAAAAATGCTTGCTTGGAAACTGTTTCTCTCTCTATTTCACTCCCTTAGCTCGGTCACCTGTTCGATCGTATCTTCTGAAATAGACAACGTCTGTACCTCTTCCTCTAATTCCGTCTCATTGGCTTCCACTTCGCGCTCATCAACTTCTTCGTCATTAGCCTGCTCCGACTTTTTCTGGCCAACTCTCTTACTCGCACGCCGAAAAACCGTATGCCAGTAGCTGGAGATTGAGTTCTTCAAGGATTGTCGACTCGGCGCGCTTGGCATAAAATCGGCGGTATCAGAGTGATCCACTGTGAATGCAAAGACAAACAAAAGTAGTATTTTTAGTCTTGACTTCCACAAAATCACAACTCACCAATACGAGTTATACCACCTAGGCGTAAATTAAAACGTCTCGTATGCTCTTTCTTTGGCTTATCTAGCTCACTATCCCTATCTGCTGCACAAACACTGTTCTCTCCAGCCAAATCGTTCTTTGGTTCGCCACCATCTTCGGGCATAATATCACTTGAGCTAGTCGGCAGTTCTTCCGCTCCGTTGTGTCGTTTGTTTGACAATTTGAAGAAGCGCTTTAACGAATTTGCCTTTGAGTTGTTCGTTTTGTGTACTTCGCAGGCTGAGTCTCCACGCTCCTCGGCACCCGAAAGTGGTATATCGTGCATTGGTGGTGATGCAGTTATGCTTTGCGACATTTTGTCAGTAGTTAGTTTTGCTATTATTGTTGGTATAGATTGAAAATAAAATTTCAAGAATAAAAAGATGATTTACTATTTTTTTGAATGTTTCAAATCAAGCACAATACACAAAACAGACAGTTATTTCAAAAATATACTTGTAGCATCTCGAAGAAAAAAGCGGTTAAGTAATTATGTGGGATATTTTGTTGTAGGTTAGGATGGCTTATAATCAAGTGTACCCATCTCAATGGGATATTCCGTGGCAAGCCTGACAGAATTTTCAGTGGCTCTCCTCCATAATATTTCACTTGTTGGGACTGGCCTCCTATGTATTAAATTGAAAACAAGGCTTTGGTGACAGAGAAACTTTGCTATTTTATAAAGGACTAATCATATTCTAATCCAAAGAAACTTCAAGTCAAGGCTCGACTCATTAGTGGGCACAGAGGTGGGTAAAAATTGTACTTGATGAAGTACTTGAATGACGGTTGCTTATAGAGAACTTTGAGAGAAGAGAGAGACTTATATTCTCTCATGTATATACATATATATATAAAGAGTGATTTTAAGATATGGGGTTTCCAAGATGAAATAAAACGCATATAATTTAATGGCCAATAATTTAGCTTTATTATAAAAATATGGATGCCATTATGTTTTAAAACGATTTTGGTCAGGTGACGGTCGCGGCTAGCTCGAATGAATTCCAGCCGAGAGTCCTAATTTTCGGCCGACAGCAAGATGTAAATCATGTCGGGCTTATCTGCGTAGACAAGCGAATTCACATAACCCCATAAAAAATAGGCCAGCGCGATATTGGAGGCAATGCGCTCGCCAAAAGTTTCCTTCAATGAATTAATTGTTTCGTATGGCATGTATATAGCGCCGTCTTGATGGAGCCATAGGATGTCTACAGTCTGAAGAATCTCCAAAACAGACATGAAATAGTCATAAATCATGGCTCTTTAGCTTTTTTCATTGATTGCAATATTATGACCGGCTTCATTTTTGAAGAAATATGGTATGGAAATGATTACCTCTGTCAGAATATATCGGCATCTATACAATGGCTTGTGGGTTATCATCACTGCAAATGTATATATATTTTTTTTTTTAAATCGGGATCCCTCTGAACGTGCTGTGCACTTGACGGTCGCCTCAATTCTGCACGAGTTAGATTATGTAAGTCTACAAAATAAGATCTTCTCGCAAAGTTTTCCATAAAGTAGAGTGGCACAGCTCTAGTTTTTGCGCGCGGTGGCGGATGAATTCATTCGAGTCTTCTTCGATACTCTGCTCCACAGCGGAAATAACGTCTTTCGTGTGCACTGTACGGCGTATCTAAGGATGCGCATTATTCACTGAAGTACACGAAGTGCAGAACCCATCCTTGGTTTCTGCAATTACCAACGCTTTAGCGAAATTATGTTATGAATATTAGATGCTTCTAGCGATAACAAAGTTTCACAATTTGCGAAAGTTATTCCGGAGTAAGTCTGTTCATCATACCAAACCAAACCGAGTATGAGTCAAGTAACAGCCGTCAAAGCGACCAACTCCAAATAAAGTCTAAAAACACACACACTTTATATAAATAGTTATCGCAACCTATACATTTGACAGAGAGTTTTAAGAAATCTTCAAAAGCAACTTGGTAGGAACATTTGACCTCGAGATGTCATTCGAACATTATTGAACACTTCTAAAACTTGTGAAATTGATGATGTTCCTCTGTTTTAATATTTGAAAAGATAGATATGTCAGCAGTTCAACTGAGTGCCGCCTAAGTATCTGGATGCATAAAGCCCTCAGCCCAGACTTCTCTGTTAGAAAAGTCCAAATACGCAATAACATGAGTCTTGAGCAGTGAAAGGTGGTATGCAGGTCTTGTTCTGGGTTCTGTTGAGTATTACATGGACAATAATAACTAACGAAAATACCCCTTCTGCCCCTCTTGAATTATACCATTGGATATTAATATCTGATAGAATTGTTAATCATACGATTGTGTTTACGACCACAGTGCCGACGACTTCCTCTGCATGGAATTCTATGATGGTTTAATAAGAATTTTATTAGGTTTTGATGTTAAATTTTTATTATAACTAAACTATAAAGTTGCATATTAGCCTAGGAAAAGATAGATCGATACTTACTTACTTTACTAGCGCAGACACCGCTTATACGATTATAGTATATTAAATACCAAGTATAGCCAGATCCTTCTCTACCTGGTCTTTCCAACAAAGTGGAAGTCTTCCTCTTCCTGTGCTTCCACTGGCATCGAAAACTCTCAAAGCTGAACTATAGCAATATCGCCGGATAACTCGTACAGGTCATAGTTCCATCGTCTGCGATGCCGTTATCAACCCACAAAGGATCATAAATCTTACGCGAACCCACCCTCTCAAAAACTCTTAAAGCCGTCTCATCAGATGTTGCCATCTTCCATGCTTCCACACCATATAGCAGGACGGGAACGATGAGGGGCTTATAGAATTTGGTTTTCGTTCGTCGGGAGAGGACTTTACTTTTCAATTGGCTGCTTAGTCCAAAGTAACACCTGTGATTCTGCGCTGGATTTCAAGGCTGCCGTTATAACTGGTGCAAAGATATGCAGGTCAACAGACAAGAGATATATTGTCTTAACCTCTTTCACAACCAGACCCATTCGCTACGCTTCTTTATCAAGCCTGGAGAAAGCAGAACTAACGGTGTGATTGTTGAGGCCGATAATATCAATATCATCGGCGTACGCCAGCAGAAGATTATACCTTCTCTATTCAACTCTGCAGCTCTTATTATTCTTTCCAGCATCAATTTGAAGAAATCATACGACAAAGAGTCACCTTGTATGAAACCTCGTTTGGTATCGGAGAGGTCCTTCCCATGTTGGAGAAGTGTTCCCTCCATAAATTCAATATACTCTGGGCATCGGTGGCTAGATAACCTCTTTTTGTCTTACAAGAGTCTGCTCCGGTCTTGAAACCTTCCGTAAGTCGTAGTATCTTCTGATAGAGTGTTCGAGCATTACCCTTGTCGGCCAGCTTCCCAAGCTCCTCATACTTACTCATTCCGGCCTCTTCCTTTTTTGACTGCAGATGCGTCTTGCTTCCCTCTTCAGCTCTCGGTATCTATCCTATCCCGCACGTGTTGTGGTCGATCGCAAGGTTGCTAGTTTTCTCTCTACTGCGACACGGCAGTCCACATCGTATCAGCTGTTTTTGCGACGTTTGCGAAATCCAATAGTTTCGTTTGCAGCTGAACGTAATGAGCTTGAAATGCCGTTCCACAGGTCCCGTATACCGAGTTGCTGATGAGCGCTCTCAGAGAGCAGGAGTGCATGTCGAGTAGAAAATCGTTCGGCAGTCTGTTGTGATTGCAGCTTTTCAGCGGCGAAACTTCCTAACGTTTATTGACGGGCATTCTTCGATACACAGAGGCGCATGCGTATCTTCGCTGCAACAAGGCATTGGGCCGATTCCATGTTGGGTCCTCGGAATGTACGCACGTCAAGAACACTGGGCATTTGACTTCCGTCTATCACAACATGATCGATCTGGTTTTGTGTTTTTCGATCAGGGGACTGACAGGTAGCTTGATGTATTTTTTTGTGCTGGAATCTAGTACTACAGACAACCATACTTCGAGCCCCGGCGAAGTCGATCAGCCTTAACCCATTAGGGGATATTTCGTTGTGAAGGCTGAATTGTCCAACAGTTGTACCAAAGATACCTTCTTTGCCCACTCTGGCATTAAAGTCGCCAAGCACGATTTTCAGCATCAGCAGCAGGCATCTTTGACCAAATCGTCCTTCTTTTCCGTCGCGGCGTGGGCGCAAATCAACGATATGCTGAAACCGGTGTTTCAATATAAGTATCTGCACTCGAATGCTTTATGCAGTAAATAGAAATGCCCAGAATTTTAAATTTTAGTGATTAAGATCGGATTTTCCCCTCCGTCAGAATATATATATTCATAACTTGATGTGCATTATCCACGAAATATGCCCACAACCTGTTGAGCCCTTGTAGAGCACCCATAAATACCTCCAACAGCATCTTTACATGTATTAAAACAGACATACTCGTGTAATTAATTTGATAAAATTCAAACAGCTGAGCAATGTTTGTAAACAAAGTATTGAGCCGGCGCAGTAAACCGGCAGCTGACAAGTTGTTCGCTGATAACACACATACAACTGAAATAGAAGTGTAAATATTTACAGCAACAAACACTTTTTTTTTTTTTTTTGAATATTTTTATTGATATATATTAAATTAGTCACATAAATAAACAAAAAGTTTTAATATAAAGTAGTACAATGTTTCAAAGTCTCTAGTCGAGCTCTCAAGAACCTTAATGTAATGTGATATTCCTTTTAAGAATACTGAATTAAATTTAATTACATTTGCATTTGTATATATGTACATGAGTTTGCAGTGAAAAATACATAAAAACATTGCTTGTTAACTTAAATCTAAACTATATACAGAAAATAAAATAAATTGGGAAAACTAGATGATAGGAAGGTGGGAAATGAGGGGTTAATGTGTTATTGTGATAACCACCAAAATTTTTTTTTGCATTTGTAAAATTCGAATTTGTCTTTTTGCGATAGTGAATTATCAAACCTATTATTAAAATCTGTTAGAGTAGATTCACAAATAATTTTTTCGTTCGCTCTTCTATATATATGATATATAATTGGCACACCTTCATTATTTTGAATGAATTTGTGTCTATCTAGGTATAAAAATATTTCGGGTGGAATAAAACCATTGTTTATTGCAGTTTCAGCATATCTATCATCACAATAGAAAGGTGCTTTTATGAACATGTTGGTTTCTTCTTCCAGGCAACNTTTTTTTTTAGTTTTTGACTCTTTATAAAATAAAAGAAAAGTAATGAGTTTCAAGTTAATAGACTGATGCACAGGTAAAGTGGTCCAATGTGATTCAGAATACGTGTTGCTCTCTCAGCAGTCACGATCAGACTCCAGCAACAAACACTTGTAGCTTCACGGGAACGTAAACAAACAAGCCAAGTGAAGGCCAAAGCGCATGTTCTGCCACTAACAGCTGTTCACGCGCTCACGAAAAGGAGAAGTGCTTCGCATAAGTGATGCAGGGCAGAGGCGAAGGCATGTATTGATTTTCCGAAAGCGCTGCAATTCATTGAACACTGGAGTTTGAGGGCCGCGGCGAATGGAGACGCAACTGAACTTTGCTGATAAGGAACGCATGTGGCAGTATGGGTGACAGCCGATTGCAAAAGTCAACCGAATCCGCAGTGTTATTTAAGCCTTAGCCGAACAGTAAAGTTTTTCTCTGCCATGAATTCATTGAATAGATAATTTTTCGTTGGATTGGTGGATACATACAGGCGAAAATTTTCACTTGCAAACAGTTTAGGTGGAGATTTTGTTAGCTGCAGTGCGTGTGTGTGATAATCTTTTGAAAAATTGCAAATTTATTCAAAAAATTAACAAATTTCGAGGTAAATTTTACACAAATACAAAGAAGAGTGCATTATTTTCGAAAGAGAGTATAATATTTATTCACAATTTTGAAATTACTATGAATTTTTCACCTGAGTACGCTCAGCATCCACAGCGAACGGGGTGTGGTGATTATATAATTGTGCAATAATTGGGAAAATTTTGGGAAAATGTGCAAAATAGATATTAAATGTATATTATTTCCAACGCAAATGTAATTAATATTAATTTTCTCTTAATATTTTATAGAATGCCAACTGCTTTGGGAGCGGCTTTGGCGATGGGAAGGATTTGCCTGATATAATGTCTGATACCTTCAAAAATCAGCTTGTCAATATGGGCACTCGCGCGGCTGCTTGTAAGTTATTGTATTTAAATATTATGTAAAATAAGATTATAGAATGAAATATGTTAAATATCTCTAAATGTGGAAAAAACATCAGGTGTACAACTTTGCTTCCGCCGTTTTTTTCCAAAATTATAAGCTTTATTGCGAAAAAGTGCTTACAGATATAATATTCAAACTATTTTCCTTAGCTAGCGACAACTTTCTCCCATCTTTCCGGCAATTTTCGGATCGAATCGAAAAGGAGTCCTCTTTAGACGCTATCCACGAAGCAATCCATTTTTCCAAATTCTTCGAAGGACTGAAAATGTTAATCCGTGTGCCATCGTAGGTGGAAGTCAGAAGGGGCGACATCTGGGCAATACGGCGGGCAAGAGTTCCCATTTCAGCGTTTCCAGGTACTTTTTGACCACTTTTGCGACGTGAGGCCGAGCATTGTCGTGTTGGAGGATGACTTTGTCATGAAGCTCTTGATATTGTGGCCGCTTTTCTTTTAGCGCGCGACTAAGGCGCATCAGTTGCGTTCGGTAGCGATCTCCTATGATGGTTTCACCCGGTTTTAAGAGCTCGTAGTAAATCACACCGAGCTGATCCCACCAAATTTGAAGGTTTTTTCTCCTCCACCACCATGTTTGTCTTCCACATCGAAATCACAATTTTTAAAACGTTAAAACCACTCCCGACACGTTCTTTCACTCAGAGCAGCATTACCGTAAGTTTCTGAGAGCATTCGATGCGCTTCAGCTGCATTTTTTTTCGAATTGTAACAGAAAAGTAAAACTTCCCGCAAATGGCGAGAATTACGCATATAAACGGACATTTTCGAGCGCGAATAATATGAAAACAAGAACAACTGTCACTGAAACGGCGATGACAATTCGTTAGGCCCTGTCCACACTCACTTTAAAGGCATTATCATCTATGTATTTCAACCAGCCTCAGCCGGTACAGCCACCTATTGGAAAACGGCGGAAGCAAAGTTGTACACCTGATAGTATATCGTAACGTTATATTATTTCCTACGAAAATCTGTTGCGGTCATAATGATTAAGATGCCTTTGGCTTACGGAGATCTTAGTAATGAGTGCTGATTAATGTACTTGACTTCATTTATTCAGGCAAAGAGGCAATGTTAATTCACCTTCACTCAAGTGTGTAGCCCCAGGAAAACTTTTGGTTCAAGTACTGAGAATGGCCATTTGCTAGATCATCATTTTCTATATCGTCCATCTGATTTCACTCAGCTTCGCTTACTGTTCGAAAATTTCGCAATAGTACACCTACATATATATATATATATATAAAAAGTTGTGAAATTCATTAAAATCGGAAAATGAGCAAATACCTGTATTCGCGGCTGTTGCTCGTGCAAATCCGACTTTAACTCTTATGACTACAAAAATAAGTTCAACAACATCCAGGTTTAAGGATTAAGGATATATGTCAGGATATATTTAAGTTTGTATCGATTTTGGAGGCTGGTTTTAAGCAATTTGCAAATTTCCTTTAGAATTTTGTTTTGCTCCATGAGCGCCTTTTAAAAGATTCATCAGCCCTTCGTAAGTATTAACTGTAGGTACCTCGTTTTTCTCGCTCTCAGTTGAGATGAGTTGATGCAGCATTTAGCCAATAGGTGCATTATGATACCGCTGTGAGGTTTCTGTTTTCACCTTCTCAAATATTCCAACCATTTTGTGTATATTATGAAAGACGAAGAAAAATTTCCCAAGGAACTAGTGTCGCGCATATATCAAGGTTGAACAGCGACAGAGGTGGTGTTCAATAGACTTCATCCCTACAGCTGCGGCAAAAATGTGCATCATGTTTAATTGTCTGTCATGCAATTGCTTGTGATGTCACTGTGTCCCGATACAAAGATCACGGCAGTCTTCATTTAGTCGAAAGGTTGTTCAGAGTGCTTCTACATTTTAACCACTTTTGATTTTGGTACTGTAACTGATTATCCTATTTTCGTACATATGAGCAGCTTCCATGATTGCAATGAGTTCTGCTTGGAAGACGCCATAGGGGTCTGGTAGCCTCATACTCATATTTATAGAAAGCATCAGAGAGTGTATTCAACAGACCACTTTTTGATCGAGTTTAGAGCCGTCTGTAAAGATGGCAGTGGCTCCTTGATCGAGGGGGTGTATGTTCTCATCACTTATGTAAGCGATAATAAAAAGTGATTTTTTAAAAGCTATAGCAAAGTTTAAAAAACAAATAAATAAAATTCAGAAAAGTGCATGAAATCTTTATTTCAATCGATAGTACGGTCCATATAATTTAATGTTTGAAGATTATTTCATGCAAATGTTTACCGCGACGGCGTCTCAAATGGTCCATCCGCTTAGTCCAATTTTGGCATACTCTTTCCAACATTTCGGCCGGTGTCTCAGGAATAAATGCTTCAGTGTTGTCCTTCAATACGTCAATTGAAGCGAGATTGTCTGTATTGACGTTAGATTTAACACAGCCTCATAAAAAATAGTCTAAAGGCGTTAAATCGTTCGATCTAGGCGGCCGGTCCAGAACGTGAAATAAAATGTTCACCGAACTCGCCTCTCAATAAGTCCATTGTTACGTATGCTGTGTGACATGTGGCACCGTCGTGTTGAAACCACATGTCATGCTAGTCAAGATCTTGCATGGTGGTCAATAAAAAGTTTGATATCATCCAAGGCTAGCGCTCACCGTTCACATTTACGTTACGATTCGCATGATATTTGAAGAAGTACGGTCCAACGATGCCACCAGCCCATAAACCGCACCAAACTGTGACTTTTTCGGGATGTATTGGTAGCTCTTGCAATGCTTCTGGGTGATCTTCACTCCAAAATTGACAATTCTGCATGCTTCAGACCAAACTGAAGATGTTTGACAGTGACACAAAACACGGAACGTGTTTCAGCTGTTTAAACCACTGTTGCCAAAAAAATAATAGTTAAAAAAATTACCCTTTATACTAGCGTGTACGGTAGTTCTTACACCTTTGAGTTGCCTTAATCGGATTGCGTGTAGCTCGTTTGTAATTTGCCGTACAGATCCGGGGGAAACGAATTGAGGCTGTTTGTATTATAGCCTAAGATTATCCCGAGATACTTGACTTCGTTAAAGAAAGGCTATCTCCGCGCCCTTTATTTCGGGTTGCTTAAAAGGAAGCGGTTTGTATCTCTCCTCCATTTCTAGTATTCTGGATTAACATCCAGCTGTCTTTGCACCAGGTCTCTTCTATATATAAAACACTTCGGAGCAGATCGCTTAAAGTTTCTCTTCGGAAATGATCCTGTTTCCTAATAATGACTCTACAAGATTCACTCACTGTTTCCTAAAAGTGACTCTACAAAATTCACTCACTATAGGCTGTTGGAGACCTATTTCTCGATGAACCTCTCATACGAATTCAGGAAGAATGTTGCGAAAAGCCGCTTCAATGCCGAGGAACATGCTCCTTCGAGACATTCGACTAAATTATAAGATCGCCCCGATCTCTATAGCTGAGTGTCTCTTTTGCCTTTAAACCTGTATGGTACAATTTAGCATTGGTAATTTATGAATCATTCTTTCGCGGTCCCTTAAACCCCTTCTGATTTTTTAGCTAATTATCGAGGATAAAATTGGGTTGAGTCGATATGGCTGTTAGCTGCATATCACAAAGACATTTGGACAACCGGGCGCAAAAGAATAATTTCTTAAGTTTTTAAAGTTCAACACTGCTCAGACTTATCCATTTTTATAACATCCCAGGACTGAGTAGGCAATTGAAAAGTAAAGTCCTCTCTCCGACGATATCAATATATTATGATTCGACCCTGGGAGTCGTCACGAGTAAAGTTTTGGGAGTAATTTATAGTCATTTGCGCCTTGGCAACGGCGAATACCGCAGATGATGGGACAATGAACTGTACGAGCTATATGATGACATAGAAGTACCCGCTGGTAGAATCAGAGGATGATATTGACATAGTTCAGCGAATGCAGAGACAGAGGCAACGCTGGCTAGATCATGTCGCCCGAATGGATGAAAGCGCTCCAGCTTTGAAAGTATTCGATGCAGTACCCACTGGTGGAAGCAGAGGAAGAGGAAGGCCTGCACTCCGTCATGATGATCAGGTGGCAAATGACCAGGCTTCCCTTGGTTTTTCCAACTGGTGCCAAACAGCGACAAGAAGAAATAAATGTTGCGTTAATATTGATTCGGCTATAATCGCGTAATCAGCGCCAACGCCAATATAGAAGAAGAATATCAGCCCATCAGTGGTAAGTCTAAATCGTGTGCAGACTTCGTTCGTAGCTAACTCGCCCGCCACGCAGTTAAGTGGGACATTCCCACAGACTAGTTGGTACGACAAATATTTTTCAGCCCAACAGTCCACACTCTATTTGAAAAAGTTTTATCTTCTAGGCTTAAATTAACATTCATTTGCTCCGAAGTTACCTTTCTAACGCAACCAGTGATAGTTTGAGGTGGCAGCAATAACAGATTTCGACCATCTGCGCAGTGGTACCTACTGAATTAGGACAAAATAATGAATAATTTGTTTTCAGTAGGCATTTTTTAAATTGGATTAGTTTTTTTTTATGTGACCGATGCTTAATCCAGCGTTCAACCTTCGAAAACCTGGGAGTACGGACATTATTTTATAACATAGAGAACCGCTTTCGTTGGCTTGGGATAGATGTCAGGATAGATTTTACGTTATGCAGTTTTGTTATGCGTCTAGTTTGTGATACTAATTTTGGAGAAGTCGACGTGGTGTTTAGTTATTTTACTTTTGGGAAAAACGGATGGATGGATGCATAGAGATGCAGGGAGATATTCATATCATTTTATGCACGTGTAATTAATGAAACATTGCTAAATTGTCATTTAATTGGCACTTTATATTTCGACAATTATTAAAAGCATTAAAAATGAGTTAATTGATACAAATAAAATGGTTTCAGCCGAAAAGCATTACTCGTTAACAGTTTAGTAAGCAAATAACATAAAACAAAACGGAGAAAAATGTTTGGATTGAAATGCAAAATTTTAAAGATTTTAATTTTGCAAATTATATTTGTGGAAAGCGTAAGTGGATATCGCGAATATTAAGCCAAATAAATGAATAAAATTTAATTTTATCTATTTTAAATGAAAAGTATGGAGCACTTTTTAAAATGACAAAACTGGAATGTGAAGATGTTAATGAAAATCTTGTTCGCATCAATTCTTGTCGTTTGAAAGTAGTGAAACGTGATGTCATTGAAGCGACCATGCGGTATCAATTTCTGCAGTCCTTTAATAACTGGAATGTAATTACTAATTATTATATATATATATATGTGCATGTATATAGCTACGCAGTAAGAGCTCGTAGATATATATTATATGTTTCCCAATATGAAAATATTTTAAACGCTCCTTTCCAGGCTCACATTGAACTACTGCGTAAATACAACTCATATCAGCCACTAATCAATAAGACCTTTGATATTTGTGCCTTTTTTAAGAACCGCAAGGAAGCTCTCTATTTAAACATTTTATATAAATTGATAGAAGACTACACAAATGTAAATCATACTTGTCCTTACGAGGTGGGGTTCGTTTAAGAGTGTTTACTCATATTTGCTGTTTTTTGTTTCTTTATTATTTTTTTTGTTTTGCAACTTTATTTCTTTTCTTTTTAGGGAGAATTTATTGTCGATCACTTCAGGCCACTTTATAACAATTTTATTTTGCCTATACCCTCCGGTGACTACTTGCTCAAAATTGGATTTTATAACAAAAAATTGTTAACCGTTAATTTACTTGTGTGGTTTCGTTTCACAGAACTGGAAAAATGGGAAATTCATAAAAAAGAATAAGTTTTTGATTCGAATTACATGCTTACTTCCAGCACACGCACACACTAGCAAACATATGTATATGTGATTATTTTAAAATTGTTATACTTTAATTATTGTAATTAATTTCTTATCTATTGAAATGAATATAAATTAAGAAATTTGCTTTAAACAATTTTCAATGACTTTTAATATAAAAATAATTAAAACTATATTAGGCTTTATATAAATTACTTATTTTTGTTCTGTATGTTAAATAAATAATATCATTTGGAAAAAAAGGTTATATCACATTACGATCTAATAATTATAAGCCGTCAGTGAGAAGAGCTTAAACTAAAACCAGATAGTGAAAGAGCCACGAGGAGCCGCTAATAATGTCGCTACCGTACTTTACTATGAAAAAATGTATCGTTTTATTTTTTTATTTTTCAATATAGTCTTTCTCAAGTAAAATACAATTCTCACATCATGAATGGAATGTCTTTAAATCACTGAAAAAATATTCATTAGATTACCCTTCAAAATGGGTTTCTACGGCCGCTTTCATCTCACTATCGTCTGAAAATCTACGTCCTCCTAACTCCTTTTTTAAATTAAAAAAAAAATGGAAAAAGTGATTGTGAACCAGTTCTGGACTGTAGGGTGGATGGTCAATTTCTGCAAATCCAGTAGCTTTTAAGTCATCTCGAGCGGTGTAAGCCGGTACTTTATCTTGAAAAAACCGCACACGCCGCGCTAACTTGCCACCTCTCTTCTGCCTCGACTACCTCACGCGTCTGACTCAACAAATTAACAAAATACTCGCCGTTCGTTGTAGTTCCCTTTGGCAAGCTTTGTTTTACTGGCGTAGACACCGCTTACCCGATTTAAGCCGAGCTAACAATATTGCGTCATTCCATTCATTCCGCAGTTTGGCGCCAATTGGAAATACCAAGTACAGTCAGGCCTTCTCTACCTGGTCTTTCCTCTTCTTTTGCTACCACTGGCGGGTACTGCATCGAAAGCTTTCAAAGCAGGAGTATTCGTATCCACCTGGACCACATGACCTAGCCAACGTAATCGCTGCTTCTTGATTCGCTGAATTAAATCAATGTTGCCGTATAACTCGTACAGCTCATCGTTCCATCGTCTGCGGTATTCGCCGGTGCCAACACGCAAAGAACCATAAATCTTACGTAAAACTTTTCTCTCGAAAACTCCTAACCACGTCTCATCCGATGCTGTCCATGCTTCCGCAATATAGCAGGACGGAAACGATGAGGGACTTGTAGAGTTTGGTTTTTGTTCGCCTAGAGAGGATTTTACTTTTCAGTTGCCTACTCAGTCCAAAGTAACACCTGTTGGCAAAAATGATTCTGCGTTGGATTTCCATGCTGACATTGTTGCTGGTGTTAATACTGGTTCCTGAATAGACGAAGTTATCTACGACTTCAAAGTTATGAAGGTCAACAACGACGTGGGAGCCAAGTCGCGAATGCGATGACTGTTTATTTGATGACAAGAGATATTTCGGTTTGCCCTCATTTACTACCAGACCCATTTGCCTCGCTTCTTTATCAAGTCTGGAGAAAGCAGAACCAACGGCGCGGTTGTTGAGGCCGATGATGTCAATATCATCCGTGTACGCCAGCAGGTGGACACTCTTACAAAAGGTTGTACCTTCTCGATACAGCTCTGCAGCTCGTATTATTTTCTCCAACAGCAAATTGAGAAGTCACACGATCACAAATCGCCTTGTCTGAAACCTCGTTTGGTATCGAACGGCCCGGAGAGGTTCTTCCCAATTCTGACTGCGCTTCTGGTATTGTCTAGCGTCAGCTTACACAGCGGGGATATCAAATTCAGACATAGCGGCGTAGAGGCAGCTCCTTTTCGTGCTGTCGAAGGCTGCTTTACAATCGCCAAAGAGGTGATGGGTGTTCATTCTCTTTTCATGGGTCTTTTTCAAGATCATCTGGTCGGCGGATGACCTACCAAGTCTAAAGCCACACTGATAAGGTCCAATCAGTTTGTTGACGGCGGGCTTCAGTCTTTCACATAATACGCTCGGCAGGAACTTATAGGCGATATAAAGGAGGCTTATCCCACAGTAATTGTCGCAGACTGTGGGATTCTCTTTTTTATGGATTAGGCAGAGCAGAAAAGCTGTAGCTGCATTCACTTTCTCAGCTCTTCACTGCCATGTTTAAATAACTCAGCTGGCCAATCGCTATTCGAACATCATCATAGTCAGGTAATGGAACATCTTTTCCATCGTCATCGATTGGGGTTAGGGGTTCATCATCCCCGGGTGTTCCATTATCACGGTCATTCAGCAGGTTGGAAACATGTTCCCTCCACAAATTCAGTATACTTGGGCATCTGTCACTAGATTACACCTCTGGTCTTGAAACGTTCTTTAAACGTTCTGTGACACACAGAGGCGGGTGCGTCTCTTCGCTGCGACAAGGTAGTGTTTCGAGTCTATTTTAAGACTTCAACTCTGTTTTCGAAGCAGAGATTGGGGCTATTACAAAAGCTACCAAAAAGGCAACCGCTATCTATCTATCCGGTTTTTAGTAGATGTTCATGCGGTAATTGAGAATCACGTATGTTAACACAAAGTCCAGATGTATAAGGTCAACAAAGAGGCAAAATGCTATCGCGGAATACAAAATTAATACCACTTGGGTTTCGGGTCAAACGGTTATAGAAGACGGAAGAACAAGCGGATAAGTTGGCCTCAGACCTTTCACCAAGCCGCCGCACCTGAGCTATAGGGTAGGCACATTGTGCTCCCCCGCGTAACATAATTCCACTTTACTTATCTTGTGGAGATGATATCTTAGGTATAAATTTCCTTGTTCTTCCAATTTATTACAATTTACATTTTTACACCAGTATATTTAAAAAAAATTTTACCATAAATAAAAGAATTTTCTATATTTAAATTTTAGTCCAAGCAAAACTGCGATGTCTACATGATTCGCATGTACGCCTGCTACAAAATACCCAACCCACGCCCTCTGGCGTCGATATTGCTAACAATATCAAATACTTTTCACAAACCTTACTAAGTAAGTAATCCTGTACAAGAATACCCCACTGGCTTCAATCCAATTTAACAAAACGATCTATTCTTTATTTCAGCTGTCCTTAAAGATGTACGCACCTCACCACATGAACTTATACGCGACCCCTCCGAGGATCCCACACGAATGTCAGCCTACCCAAATCTTGAATATGGTAACCTATATAATGCCCTAACAATGCTTATTGATGTGGCACCGTGCATACAATATGGACAAATCGGTAAGTGTTTTTACAAAGTATTTAGCTTATAAATAAATAAAAATTATATTTTCTCTCGTTTGCAGTGTTTGGAAAGGCCCTGTTGCAGTGCCTTTGCTGCATACTACCTTTCCTGGATAAGGATTTAATTGATAATTTACCCTATCTGGTCAGCTCTACTATGTCTGTACTACCACCAGCTCTACATCAAGATATTGTCAATGCACTATGCTATTATATTCTACCATTTACTATAAGTGAGTACAAATCAATAACTAAAGCATACTTTATTTCTATCAAGAGCTACCTACAACAGTTTACCATTCATTCTTTTCTTTCGCAGTTTGGAAAAGATCAAGTACAGCCAGGTCCTTCCCCACCAGGTCTTTTCAGCAGAGTGGAGGTGTTCCTCTTACTTTGCCTTCAAAGTGGGAGTATTCGTATCCATCCGCACTATATAACCTAGCCGGAGAAGCCACGGTCTCTCGATTCGCTAAACTATGCTTATCGTTCCATCGATATATTCAATGCGCATAGAACCCTAAATCTGACCGAAAACCTTTCTCTCAAAACTTCTAACACCGAATTATCATCTGTTGTCATAGTTTGGTCTTTTTTTTTTGTTAAAAGTGGATTTTACTTTTCAATTGTCGACTCAGTTCAAGTAGCACCTGCTGACATTGCTGTCGGTGTTTCTGCTGCTTTCAAGATAGGTATCACCCTATCCGAAACTTCTTTAGTTATCGACTGCACTTCTGGTGTAGTCTAGCGTCAGTTTACATTGCCGTAAAGATTTTGCGGGGATATCAAATTCAGACATAGCGTCGTAGAGATAGCTTCTTTCGTGCTGTCGAAGACTGCTTTAAAATCCGTGAAGAGTGTATGTGTCGATCCTCTTTTCACCGACCTTTTCAAAGATTTGGCGCATGTTGAATATCTGGTCAATGCTTTAGTCTTTTATACAAAACGCTCGATAGGACCTTATATGCGTTATTGAGGAAATTTATTCCACCGAAATGAACGTAAAACAGTGGGGTTCCCCTCCTTATGGATTTTGCAGAGCACACTTGGGTTTCAATCATTGGACATGCTTTCATCCGACCATGTTCTGTTTAGCCGCCGTATTTGCACAACTCGACCGGCAATCCATCGGTCCTCCCCGCTTTGTATTTTTCAAGCGGACAATTGCTATTCGAACTTCTTTATAATCTGTTCTATAGTCACCGATTGCGGAATCGGGTTCGCCATCACCTGATGCTCTCATTTTCACAGCCTGCTTGAGAAGTATTCCCTCCATATATTCAGTATACTTTGGGTATGAATAACTAGATAATCTCTCTGAGCCATACAAAAGTTTGATCCAGTTTTGAAACCTGCTCTAAAGCGCTGCATCTTTTCGAAGAGTTTTCGATCATCCTCTGACGGCTTTACAGGATTTTCATAATCACCCATTTCGGTCTCTTTATTTTTCTTTGTCTACTCATACTTTTCGTTTTTCGCTTCAATTCTCGTTCCCTGTTCCATCCCGCCCGTATAGCGGTCGATCATCATGTTGAGACTGTTTCCTACAGCTGGAATCTCTCCTTTTTCTTCTTAATTAACCAGTAATTTCTCCTTTCAGTCTTTGACCTTCCCTTCTTCTACCAGTGAAAAGTTTCAAATGAACTTGGATTATATTCAATCGCGCAACAAGCGGAAGTATATCCTCGGCATATCTCCCTTACCTTAACTCCATCTAGTGGTGTCAGGAAGTCTCGATATAAATAGTTTTAATTTTTATCCTTTTACCTTTATACCGTTTTGGTTTAGCCTAGGAGACGGTCCTTGTTAAAGTAAGTGTTGTGAGTGTAAGACAAAAGCTGCAAAAAATCAAAACTATTTACTATGGATGCCTCATACCTAACTCCGCTATGCTAGCATTTTTCTTTTCATAGCATGAAGAGAGCAATAAGTGACTGATGAAGCTTTAATTTAAGGCTTTGTGTCTGAAAAAAAAACTTAGTTTTTCCACAGGGGAAACCAATGAAACAAAGAGAGCAAAAGCTTTTATTTCATGCTCTGCAGTTTCTTACTTACCTGTCTGCAGTTGTTTAGATGGCAGGCGTAGAGACAATCCAAACCAAACTAAAGTAATTTTGTAGCTTTGTAATGATACTATTTCAATTTATAATAATAATAATATTTCAGTACCAGAAATTTATCTACAGCATTTAAGGACTCAACTTCCTGGTCAGCAAAGCAGACCTTATGCCCATACGCTTTTGGAGTCTAATGTTCTTCGCTGTATTTCTCAGTGATAACTGGCTCAATTCCCCGCCGGAAATTCGGATCATAATAAATTATAATTAAAATCAAATATTTATTTTTTAAATGCAGAAATTCTGCTATTTATGTTCATACCTTGTTGGTTTATGCCTTTCTCTGTTCCGACAGCCCGTCGCAGCGCAGATGAGCAAGAATGTCAAGCATGTCAGGCAGTCTCTTCGGTCATTATGATGGTTCTTCAATATTCTCATAATCCCGGTGTGTATTAATTTTTCTCTTTCACATGTATAATTAATCAATTATTCTATATTTCAATCATCTTACCAATTTCATCACAGCACATCACTGTCAACTACTAGAATGCCTAATGACACTTAAACATAACGTTGTCAAGGATATACTTTGCGTCATCGCTTACGGCACCTCTATGTCGCGCTCCTCTGCAGCTAAACTACTATTTTATTATTGGCCCGCCTTCGACCCAAATCTATTTGATCGAAAAGTTTTGTTATCGAAATTAACAAGTATGTAACCGACTTATCAACCAACTACACCATACATATACATACATAAACATGTTTGTATTTTCTTATTTTTAAATTCACCAGACGATATGGTGCCCTTTGTGTGTCAATGTGAACAATGCCCTAACGCTGGCAATGCAGAAGCGGCTAAAGTTTGCTTTGATCACAGCATCAGCATTAGCTACGCACCCGACTGTCCACCTCCTCTATATCTTTGCATTGAATGTGCCAATGAAATACATCGGAAACATGCTAACCTCGAGTTCGGCGACATTCTCCATCCTATGCAGCAAGTGTCTATGGTATGTGAGAATAAGAATTGCCGCTCCACCGACAAAGCAGCCTTCTCGATATGTTTCTCCACCGAGTGTGCGAGCTATAATGGAAACCACCCGATTCGTTACTGCTCGCAATGTCACAGCAATCGACATAATTCGCGACGCGGTGGCGATCATGTGGTGCATCGTAGTCTTCAAATCATCTGGCAGATGGATCCCGAGATTCAGATGCATATGGTGGAGTCCGTGATTAGTTTGTTGCGCGAGGCTAAGCCGCTCAATTTCGAACCTGGCAAAGACGGTACGGATCCGAAGAAGAACGGTGGCAATGGCACACCAGACACCATTTCGCTAGAAGAGCGCCAAATGTTGGGACGTTATGGCATCTGGTTGCTGGTAGGCCGTTGTACGCCGACACCTGAAATGCCAGTCGAGGTGTTGGGGCGCATTTTGAGTATGTTGTTCCATTGGTTCCATGTAACGGCATGCTCCTATGATGGTGAGTATATCGATAACAATTTTCTTTTAAACGTATTTCGAATATTTTTCAACAGTAGCTGGTCTAATCGAGAGCACCATAGAGAAGCTTAAGGTGGAGCATGTCTGCAATTGGTTAAAAGAAATTTGTCGTATACATTATAATGTAAGTTCGTCGATGTAAACTCATAGAATCAAAATTATTTAATTGTCTTTCACAGGTATTCATTTCATGTTTGCTACCCCATCCACCGGAGTATGCGCGTGTTGGTGGACACTGGGAGACACTAGCCTCGCGTACTAGTCATCTTAAGGAAGGTCTACAGCGTCTTATTTGCTTAGTTCCTTACGAGGTCATTACATCTGAAATTTGGGACTATGTTATGCCGCATTGGATGGAGGCTATCACCAACGATGTCGGCGAAAAGGAGTTGAATGAATTAAAAATAGTACTCAGCAAAATATTAGATCCAGAAATGTCGCCACTAGGCTTCGACGCGAAAATTATGTACAACTTTGTCGCCATACGTTTCGAGAAGACAACAGCAAAAGTACAACAGCAAGCTCTACATTGGCTACAAATCCTTACCAAGCTAGGCATACTCATACCACTGGTGCAGTTGTTTGCCATGTTCGGCGATGGTGTGCGCATCATGAAATATGGCGTACAACATGAGCTGATGCGCGAGAAAGAAGGGCAGACGAAAAGTCCGAAAACTCCACTGAAAGAAACTAAGAACGAGTTGGGAAATCCACCACGTCGAAGCTCAATTTGTAAGTTCGAAATGTTGTTTGTTTTAGTTATCTTTAAGTTCATTCATTTCTTTTCTCTTGACAGCTCCTGTTGTCGAGGACGATTCCGGCAATACATCTGCCATTTCGGACGATGAAGCACCTACAAATCGGCATACTGAATTCTCTACGGATGCCGAACACAACCTCACCTGTTGCATTCTCATGCTAGATATATTATTGAAGCAAATGGAGCTGCAGGATGTGGAACAGCATATGGGTATACACACGAGTGTTTGTGAGAATGTGTCGCGTTTGATTAAGTGCATGGTCACAGCCGCACGTGTAGGCTTGAGTAGTCATGTTTGCTCATTAAAGGTAAACAGGAAAATAGTGTATTCTCGTAGCAGAATCAATATCAATGAATTTTAATCATTTTTCCTTAGGTCGCCGAATGTGCTTACTGTGAGGCCTCCATTATGTGGCATCAACTAGCCACCAAATTGGTGCAATTTATGGCACCACTCAATCCAGTACGTCCCCCAGATGTAAGTAACTAATTAATAATTGACTTTTTGTAACAGCTGACTTGACTTTCGGGCAAGCTCTTCATCCGATTTGTTTTGCCAACGGATTGCGGAGACCTAAAGTTTATTCTAATCCGCCTCTGAATGGCCGATGGTTTTTTAGGAGGAGCTTTGTAGAATTTATTTCCCATTGGTAGCATGAGCTAACAACAGCTGCGTTCGGAGCAGCAAAAAGCCAATAAAATTTGCACAGAGATCTTTTGACACTTTGTTATTATTGTAGCTAATTCTTATTGACATCTCACCGAACAGAGCTTTTACTTTAACAATGAAAACTTCATCGCTTTAGGCAAAGCAATTAGTTCCTCCAGGGACTAAGTTGAAGTGGTCCTCATCGCGGCTTCTTTACCAAGTACGTTTCACCTGTTCCAAACATTTAATGTGGCACTTCTTCTTACCTTTCAACCACCATACAAGTTCTCTTATTATCGTACCCCCTTATCGGTGTAATAGTTCTTTGGCAGAAGTTTACTGTCTCTGTTTTCAATATGCTCTCTCTAGCCAACCTTTTTTTTAAGGATTACATCGAGATACTTAACCGAGTTGGTGAGTTAAAAAGGTAAATTTATGCCTTTTTTTTAAAGAAGCAAACTTTACTTTTCCTCTCAGCATCAGGAGAAGTGGTATACCTGCCCGAAGGTAGGATGACAAGAACTTCCGCATAGCATACTATCCTTATATTTTTCGCTGCTAACACTTGTTGTGGTTTGTTTATCACGGTTATCTACTTTAACGAACAAAAAATGCCTTCGTGGATAATTTTAATACTTTCACATTGCGCACGATATGCCACCAACTAGGCAAATTCTGGTTGATCCTAAAAGGTGCAATTGATAAGATTAATACAATGGGGTTTGCAATATTGAAAACTCTCTCCTCTTTAATGAGGGCCATCTCGTTTACGCATGAATTTTTCAATTATCTCGCGCCGTATCGACTGATTTACCCTATTATTTTCCACAACCATCGCAGATCCTTTCCAAGTTTTGTAGCAGAAAACTTATCATACTGATCGATTGATCGTGATAGTTAGAAATTTTTGTTTTATTAATTGCTAAATATATTTCACGCATAAAAAGCTTCTCCTAAGAATTCATCAGCCAGGTTAGTAAAGATTACTTGAAATAAACATAATAAAAATAATAATAAAAAGAAAAAAGATTTGTCGAAGTCCTTGAAAAGGGTTATCCAAAAAGAGGTGTTACCTTGAATAGCTTGCTATTCCGGTAGATTGTAATTTTGCAAATATGGAATTATGGAATTTATGATAATCAAAAAATCATCTTGACTGACGAGGCAGATTTCCACCTCGATGGCTACGTAGTGTAAATAAAAAAAAAACTTTCGCACCTGGGGCTTGGAAAACCATGATTTATTATTGGAAAGCCTAACCATCTTCAACGTGTAGCTATTTGGTGCGGTTTATGCTTTTCGAAAATGGATCGGATTGCGCCATCGAGAGATGATTAATGAATTTTTATGACCGGAATTGGATGACAACGTTCAATAAGATAGCGAAACGTGTCACATGAGCAACGAAACTCGATATTTTTAGGGCAACATTTTTTTGAATAAATAATACCTTTTATTGGAAAACTTTTCTTGACCAAATGAAATTTATCTGAAAGATGGATTGTAGGTGCTATATTATAAAATTTTCGATTTAGACTATTTTCGCTGTCATTCTTTATTTTTATATACGAGTGAATAATATCGCATTTCATGCTCGGAGCTCGGCCGAAAAATCGCTTCAGCGGTTACAAAGGGCCAATTATATAGTGTATGCTCTTAGATGCTTTCTTGGCTTAGTTCTGAAGAAAGCCTTATTTCTGAATCAATCGATGTATTGGAGCTTATATTTTATAGTCGTTCGATTTCGATAATTTTCAGTACAAATGTGTATTCGTTAGATTCTCTTTTAACGGATTTATGACTTAAAATCTCAAATCTGTCAAAAATCAGTCCTACCTGGCTGGTTCAGCCAAATGATAGTTTAAATGTTAATGCTTCTTTGTGTGAAGTTTGGTGGAAATATCTCAAAAACTGAGGGGCTACTTTACGTACAAACAGACGGACTCAACTCGTCATTCTGATCCGTACGGTATACATTTTAATGGGTCTATCTTTTCTCCTTCTGGTATTTACATACTTCGAATCGAAGTTATACCCTTTAAAGCACATTTAAATCATCTTCAAGGGAGTTGACTTACTATGAGTGTCACTTGAGATTTTAATATATTATTTAGGAGAGTGCAATAGGCGATATGCAAATGCTTTGATTTCACTTTTAAAGTTCATTATATCATAAAAACATCGTTTTTTCACGACTCTCTGTTAATGCATCTTTCTTTGCGTCAATCGTCCTTTGTGTCAATTTGACATATTTTTCATATTTAAGTCGATGTAATTAATCTGTCCTTTTGTTAAAATTTGACACAACGCTAGATGTGCTGTTGCTAAGGATAGTAAAACTGGTTTTTGACGGTTCTTTTGTTCACAGATATATGTTTTTGAATAAAACCGGTTTGGTAAGTTTGAAATTTGACTTTTCGCTAGGTAGAAAGGTGCAAAAAAACCAAAAAAAAAAACAAACGTTTGTTGTTCTTTTTTCCACAATTTTTGTCGTGTGTCAAATTGGCACAAGAGTCGGTTTTGTTTTTTTTTTTCTTAAGAACAGATGCGTGTTAAATAAATGAATTTTAACTAAACTTTTACAAATAGTTTAGAATTAAGCATAACTGGTGAATATCAGCGCTGACCAACGTTAATGTTTTCCCACATTACGAAGCTGTTTAACGGTGTTTTCATCTTTAACACAGATTCCAATTGAGGATATCATCGAAGAAGAAAAATCATCACGTAAAAGTCCACCCGAAAGTGACAAGGAGAAGTCACGTGAGCGTGACGTATCACTATCAATGGCGCCATTACCCATACCACTGGGTCCATTAGGCGGTTTTGCAGGTGCTTCAATTTAAATTATGCTTATTCATATATACCTATCTACATAAATACATATATTTAAACACAAGCAACTAGATACTTTTATCTTACACCCACATTTGTATGTATGCCTAAAATAAATGCAAAATTCACTTTCTAGTAAAGTCATTTGTTTTCTTAAAAAAAAAAAATATATTAAAAACCCACGTAATTTGAAATTTTAGTAAATGTACATATAAAGTATGTATTGAATAATCAAATGGTTAGTGGTGTTGTAAATAGAATTACTAAATTGGTACACCTTAAAACGCGTAGCAGCATAAAAGAGTAAGGGATTGAAATAAAAAATACATTAAAAAACTAAAATAAATATAATTCTTTAAACATCGATGTTATAAATATAAAAAAAAAATCCCTAGTAGGTAATTGCACCCTTATAATGCTCTTAACAATACTTATATTTATGTACATGTGTAGATATCTACCAAAAAAGTAACTCACATTGATATTTACCATTTTGCTCATCTATAAACGACTTTGAGACCCACACAATGAAATCATTTTTAAGCAAAAAATTTTAACGTCTTACACATGAAATGAGTAAATACTTTGCAAAAGCATATTAATTATCACTTAAATTTTTTTCTCACCAAAATTTTAAAAAATATTATAAAGCAAGCATTTATGATTAATCACTTAAGACCACGAACGCAACTAGAAGTATTTATATATGATATTACACTCGTATATAGACACATATTTTTTGTAAAAAAATATTCAAAATTAAAATGTTTTACCTCACTATGTTATTATGTATCTTGTATCTCTATCTCTCTATCTTTCTATCTCTCTCCTTATCAACAAATGCGTTCTCTGAACACTGAACTCTAACTCTATGTGCTCTCGACTCATAATATCTACGTTCACCAAACTTTGCGTGCCTCTTTTTTTAACTCTATTACTACTATGTACAACAACTTTTACAACTACAATACTACTACTAATACTACTACTATTACTTTAACTGCTACAACTATTACAACTACTACAATAATAATCAACACATTTCGTAACAATCAAAAAATAATAAAATAATACTAATTCTTTCAAATAAACTTTTGCTCATCTAAATCCTTAAGACATCTTAAAGCTAGATCAATTCTTTTCAGACGATGGGAAAATTATAATTATGGCAGGTGAAGCATCCCACCATTCAACCAGCATTCACGTATTCTTATACTGTTTGTTTTTCTCCTTACTCTACTCAACTTAACATACTATTACTTACTTAATATATTATTTTTAAATTGATATTTTTGGAAAATTTGCAGTTCTTATAATGAAGCTAATGTTTTAACAAAAAAAAAAAAAAAACTTTAAGTAGCTTTATAAGGAATAAACACAAAATTCAAGCTAATCAAACAAGACAACACTAAATATTAGGCGCCTAAACTCTCGCTCACTTGGCACTTTGCTGCACACCGAACACTGAAATGATTGCCACCACTGATAACCACTACCCAATAAAAACTCTAACACCTCCACACTGCCACCGCACACTTTGCTGTCGCTTTTGCTACTCGTATGTACGAGTATACTCGAAGGCTATTCATTACAAAAACACCTCAAATCTCTTTTGGAATGAATTGTATATATATACTAAGTGCATTGTAGACGATGTACCAAGTACAAAAAATTATTAAAAAGTCACATTTTTGGACATTATATTTTTTTTTACTTTTTACACCTTCTCTTCTATATTTTTTGTAGTTCAACGCTCTATTAACCAGGTTAAACCTATAGCGAATAGAAATAGAAATATTAAAGCTTCCCAAACAATTTCAACGTTGATAAGCGGCTTCACATAACCCCATAACACTCCAGCAGTGTAAAATCGCACGATTTTGGAGACCACGACGTGAGATATTGGCACTTACCAAAACTTACCTTCAATTAAAGGATTGTTTTGGTGACGGTATGACATGTAGCGCCGTCTATTTGGAACCATAGGTCGTCCTAGTCAAACATCCTCCAGTTCAAGAAGTCATCAATCATGACTCTCTAGCGATCCCCATTCTTCCCCCTTCAACTTTATTTCATTTCTGAAGAAATATCTACCAATGATTCCCATGGAGCATATGGCTTGTGGAATATCATCATTCCAAATCCGACAACTTTGTATACTAACGTACCATTCAACTAAATGTGACCTTTATCGAATAATAAATATGATGCGTCGCTCGAGCCGAACCATTATTTTGGTGCTAAATTTTCCCGATTTTCAAAGTTTGTTCCGGAGTAAGTAAATCTCTGTTGATTATGAAATAGCAAGCCTAATTGAGTATGAATCAAGTAACAGCCATAAAAAATACCAACTTCAGGTTAGGGGCTCAAGAATTTAACCGTTTTAAGGCCTAACTGTCGTAAGAGGCGACTGAATTTCGATAGTACCCGGATATCTTCCCGGTCCTTTGATCTTGGCTTACAATTACCATTCTCAAGCAAATTGAATTATAAATTTTTTGGCTTGTTATGTCCGAAATTAGTTATATTTACACAATTTATGCGATTACAGCGCATCAATCGTTCCTTCAGTGAAAACAGGTCGTTCTCCTGATCTTTCCTTCTGAGCGATGGTCTTTCTCTTCCTCTGCTTACACCAGCGGTTACTACAACCAATACTTTCAAGAATACTTTCATCCATTTGGTCGATATCACCTAGCCAACGTAACCGCTGTCTCTTCATTCGATGAACTATATAAATATCGTCGTATAACTCACACAGCTCATCATTCCACCATGTGCAGAGTATAAAAAGCTGTAAAAAAATCCTTTCTCAAAAACAAAACTTTAAGTGTCAGCTCTTCACATGTTGCCATGCTGCAGGCCTCTGCAACTTTTAGAGGGATGGAAATGACGAGCGATTCGTTGAGTTCGGTCTTTGTTCGTCGACAGAGAACTTTTCAGTTGCCCACTTAGTCCAAAAAAGCAATGATTTGAAGAATGATTTTGCGTTGGATTTCAACGTTAAAATTTTTTTTTTTGGTGTTAATGATGATCCCTAGATAGGCGAAATTACCTACGATTTCAAAGTTATGACTTTTAACAGTGACGTGGGGATCAAGATTTTTTTTATTTGTTGGCAGAAGATATTTGATCTTGGCTTCGTTCATTACTAGACTTATTAAACCAGGAAAAAGCAGTACTAACGGTGTTATTGTTGAAGACATGTAAGAAGCGCCAGCAGATGATCATTATCTGTATATTTCTGTATGTTTTATTATATTCCCTAGCCTAGAGATTCACCGTTTCTAAAAACTCCTTTTGTAATATTTTTCCATCTCCTTAATATCTGTGTGAAATCCTTCACCTGGTAATTAATCTAAATTGTAATCAACCAAATGTACTTTGAAACCCATAAAGTTTGAAATGCGTTTAACTCCTTTTGAGGATTTTTGTCAATTTTTTGCAATAAATTGTGGATCATGCCGTGCAATATCCGGTTCAACGAAAGTGCCTTCCTTCAACATTGCCTCCAAGCGGCTTGGAAATTTTGTATATTAAGTATTTGAAGCGATTTTCTTCCCTTGGAAGTGACTTTAAAAATTGCTTAATCAATACAGCATTTTTGTTGCACACATGTGTTATTATTGATCTCATGGCAACATTTTAAAGTTCTCATATATCAAAAATTAAGCTTCAAAAAAGATCGTTGAAGTAAAAGTACAACGCAGGACAATACCGACTGCAATTAACAACAACAAGAAGTATCAATCGATAAAACTAAATTTTGAAAAATTTTTTCAACTTTTGCAATATTTTGCTTTTATGCAGAATATATTTTTTAACTAAATATTTAACTTTAAATATCGCCGACAGCACGCATACAACATTACATAACACCACAAAGCATTCGTATACGTCAAATTCCCCTTGCATGCGAGATTATAAGAGCGTTCTTTTGTTTCTGTCTTTTAACATAAAGTTTCATGTGCAACTTTACGTATTTTTATTTTAGTTCTTTGCTTAAAGTTCTTTTAAATAAGCCAATTACTGCATGAGCCATAGTCATACATACACGTATGTGACCGCCCTAATGCTGGTCTAAGTTTTCTACAAACATACATAACTGTAAATATAGATAAATCTCCATTCCCCATCTTGCAACCCCTCGTGTAAAATATGTTCTGCCTTTAGTATTCCCTGTGTATCCGAGTTTGATTCCAATGATAAATACTTAAAAATTTTTACTAATCAACTTAACTAATATTGCCATATTTGTTTCTCCTTTGTTGTGAATGTCGCCTTGCCGGATGGGTTGTTTAGGACCGGTGCCAGTAGCAGTACCACAGCCGGAACCACACTCTGTAGGCGGTGTACTCGTGCATATGCCACACGTTTGTTCCGTATGTATACATAATTTAACCAAAAAAAAAAAATAAAAAAAAAAATTAAAACAAAAACAAAAAACACTGAAACTGAAAGTCCATCAATGGTATAAGTATCTAAGGGAAAAATAACTAAAACAGAATTATGAATTATGAATAAAAAAGTATTGCATAAACAATTTTATACTTGACATAATATTATATTTAAAAATGCGTTAATGTAAATTTTATGTAATTTGCGTTAATGTAATTATGTTTCCACAAAAAAAAAAACAAAAAAAAAAAAACATGAAAAAGCTACTCAAAACACATTAAAGCCTAAAGAATATTTACAGTATGTATTCGTTAAGTTGAATAATGTTTTTACAATTGTTGTTTGACATTTCATTGAAATTATATTATTATATTATTACAGCAGAAATTGTAAGACAGAGATTTGCAGCATTATTATCATTATTGAATTTAATTATTAAATTATTTTCAACAATTTGTAGACGTTATCATAATGCATTCTCACAAAACAACCGATTCATTTGAAACACATGTTTTTGGACTAAAATATTTTTATTACAATAATACGTACATACAAACATGCATACATGCATACATACATGAATGTTTGCGCGTTCAACAACTTGTACATGTATGTGTAAGTATATCATTGTATAGGTTTGTTCCCTTGAATTTGGCGTACGTTAAAATTTTAAGCTTACCTCTCCACATAAATTTGAAAACTCAACGTTAATATGCTTATTTTAAATCGATTTTATTTCGTATACTTTTTTTTAGAATAACGATAATGGGCATTCAGTTGATAGTATTGAATTGAGAAAAGTTCACGCCACAGACGAGGTACTTTGTGCATACGAAAATTCGATACACAAATAAACAACAACAAACGTGCAATCGATTAAATAGTTCGATAATATGTTTGCTTACAAAATTATATTTATGTAATTAATAATATACATTTTAGTTTTCATACATTACTTTTCTTTCTTTCATTTTTTTATTTGTTTGTTTGTTTGTTTCAATTATTCATTTCACATTTTTTATAGTTGTTGTAAAGTGATTTAGGATCGTGCCTATCAGAATTCCAACTGAAATATTTATAAATAAGACTGTTTAATTATATGTTTATTGTATATATATATATATATATAAATTATGTATGTACCATGTACATAGTTATACATATAAGCGAACTACTTGAATGAATAGATATAAACTGTAAAAAGAAATAATGTTATTTATTTACCAATTTCATATTATAATATTCTTTTCAAATTCACACAGATAGTTTGCCTATCAAATATTGTAGCTTCATAATTAACATACTTCAGCTATGAGTCTCTGAAGACACTTCCTTGCCATTAAATTTTGATTTATCATTGTTTCCTTTATTTAAATATAATAATTTTTTTATTTTTGATAATCACAGCACAGCTTTAGCTCATCGAAAAGTGAATAGCATCGCAGCATAACATTTTTTGTAACATTGCTCATTGCTTATTCAATATACATATATGAAAGTATGTAGACTAGTGTGGCTTTATTTTCTTACATATAATGACTTTTCGCTAGAATAGTTATTAAATCTTGCTTGCTTGCGATCGTCTGTAATATAGACTAGACCATTTGGCCCCATATATGGGGTTCCCACGCCATCGTGAATTACATTGTTCGTCCTCTCAATTACGAACGCAAATTACCCCATTTACACGACACCCAATTTGACAATTTTCTGTTTCGCTTGCTCACTTATTTCATTCCATTTGAAAGTGGATGGAAAGTGAAAGTTTTCTTCTTCGTTATTGGCATTGGCACTGCATACGCGTTTATAGTCGAATCAATATTAGCGCACCTGTCATCCCTTCTTTTCGCTGTTTGGCGCCAGTTGGAAATACCAAGTGAAACCAAGTCGCTCTGCACCTGATTCTTCCAGCGGACACTTCATCGAATGCTTTCAAAACTGGAGTGCTTTCGTCCTTTCGGACGACATGACCTAGCCAGCGTAGCCGCTATCTCTTCATTCGCTGAACTATGTCAAGGTCATCTTATATCTGGTACAGTTCATTGTTCCATCGTCTGCGGTATTCGCCGTTGCCGATGCGCAAAGGTCTATAAATTACTCTCGAAGACTCTCAGGGCCGGAATGCGTAAAGGGTGCGTAAATAAGCAGAATTGTCGATTTTGTAGTGAAGGTCAGCCAGAAGCATTGCAAGAGCAACCAATGCAACTAGAAAAAGTCACAGTTGGTTGCGGTTTTTGGGCTGGTGGCATCATTGGACCGTACTTCTTCAAATATGATGCGAATCGTAACGTTACTGTGAATGGTGAGAGGTGGATGATATCAAACTTTTTTTTGACCGCAATGCAAGGGCTTGACTTGCATGACATGTGGTTTCAACACGACGGTGCCACATGTCACACAGCACGCGTAACAATGGACTGATTGTGAGGAGAGTTCGGTGAACATTTTATTTCACGTTCGGGACTGGCCAATTGGCTGCCTAGATCATGCAATTTAACGCCTTTAGACAATTTTTCGTGGGACCATATTAAATCTAATGTCTATACAGACAAGCCCGCTTCAATTGACGCATTGGAGGGCAACACCGAAGCATTTATTCGTGAGACACCGGCCGAAATGTTAAAAAGAGTATGTCAAAATTGGCCTAAGCGGATGGACCATATGAGACGAAGTCACGCTCAACAATTGTACTATCGATTCAAATAAAGATATTTTTATGTGTTTTTTTAACTTTCCTATAACTCTTAATAACTTTAAATTGTTTTCAACATAAGGGCTTCTCATTGAGCGAAGTCGCATATATCTCGCTCTGAGAGTTAGTTTTTCTCTCACTTGGCTACAACATATCTGTTATGCAATCAAATATATGCCCGGTGACCGTTGATCCACTTCCGTAAAATTTTATATATCAATCCAAACCATAGAAACGACTTTTTCGAATATATCGGTCCTATTTACTATTCCTGGAAACAAAAGTAATGTTCCTGCTAAACTAAGCTAAGGGTTTCCTATATATGTATGTATCAAATTTCAAGTAAATCGAACTATAAATTCAAGTTTTTTGAATAGATCAGTCCCAGGTAATATTTCCGGTATGAAAAATAGATGTTAAATTATTCTCAGACCTACTGTTTCGGAGGAGTGTCGTGTCGAACACTGTGACACGAGAATTTTATATATATGATTAAGGGCGGCTGCAAGAGGCGCGCAGTTAACAGGGCGTGCTACCATGTGGGTAGACCTAAACCTCGGCTCTCCAAAATCTCAATCGCTCCGAGTATATTTCTGATATGAAATAGAATGCTCGTCATAATATACCAACTGGCGTTATTTATTTATTTTTCTATTTTTTTTTTGTACTTTCATAAAAAATTAGTTTTTTTTTTCAAATTCTTTAGAGCAATGACAGTTAGGATTACAAAATTTGCAATACTTACACATTATTTGCAGGTATGCCTTTATCAAGGCATACAGTGGGGCGCAAAAGTGATTCCACGATCAACGTTTTCATGTTTGAGCTCACGTAAATATCAAACGAAAAAAGTAAATGACAAGAACTTTTTTTTTATTGGACATAAAGCAAAATAGAAAAAGAAGAAATGGAATAGTTATAAATAAGCAGCTTGTACTTAGTTTGCTACCATCCGTTATTCGCTCATACTTTTGTTCTTCTTATTTTCTTATCAGCAATAGACCTGCAGATTTACCGTTAAATGCCTTTTGCATTTACTATTCGTTGTCAGAATTCAGAAAATCACTCTCTTCCACTATTTTATAGTTGATTTGTTGAACTTGTAACTTAGTCTCTAACTATTCACTGAAAAATGAAGAAGCTGTCTTCTGATAAAGAAAATAGTATTGTCTCCCAGACTAAAGGGTTCGACACGTACTATCGCTGAGAAGCTGCAAATTAGCCAATCAGTGGTTGTCAGGGTGCAGAAACGACAAAATGTTTGTGCTGGGAAGAAGTTTAATGGTCGCCGTTGCCTTCTAACAGACTCAGACGCTTGACTTATGATGTCTAAAATGAGAAAAAATTGACTTTTAACGCCAAAATAAGCTTCTACAGAAATAAATAAAGGCGTACGTACGTCGCAGCAGCGAAAAAATGTTAAAGGCTCGGCTAAAACTCGCCAAAGGAACACAAGAACTGGACAATAGAAGACTAGAAACGTGTTATCTGGTCGGACGAATCTTAATTTAATCGTTTTCAAATGGACGGAAAGCAACAGTATTGGCGGAGACCTGCTGACCAGCTTCAAAGGCATCAGGTGAAGCAAACCGTGAAACATGGAGGTGGCAACGTATTCGCACGTTGGACCGTTGCACGAAATTGACGGGATTATGCGAAAGGAAGACTATTTGAGCATTTTGCAAGCCCATCTTCCCAATTTTCTTGACCAGTGTGTGTACCCAGAGTAGGAAATCACTTTTCAGCAAGATGGGGATCTCAAGCACGCTGCAAAAATTGTTAAAAAATGGCTCGGAAACCAAAATTTTAAGATGATCGGGTGGCCAGCGCAAAGGACCGACCTCGTTCCGATTGAAAAACTATGGTCAATCGAAAAGCGTCAGATCGGCCGGTATCAATCAGACCCATCCAGCTTTGACGATCTTTGGGGGTATGTTGAACAAGAGTGGAATAATATTCCGAAAGGATAATTCAAAAAATTAGTTGAAAGTATGCTAAAACATATGAAAAAAGTCCAAATACCAAATATTAATAATGAATTTATTTTGTATTTTTTTTTTCTAAATGGTGCAAAAGTATATGCCGTTTGTTTTTTTTTTTTTTTTTTGAATCATAACTATTATATAGCTGCTTCAATTACTTTATTTCTTACGCCTTGTTGTTACAAATAAAATACTATTAAACAAATTAAAAAGTTTGATCATTTACTTCGTGAAAACGTTGATCGTCGAATCACTTTTGCTCCCCACTGTATATATTTCAACTCAGTCGATTAGAGATTTTTCACTAGTGAAACATATTTTGAATAGATTTAGCTCCGCTAATTTTGATTTTATTTTCTTTCATTTTTAATAATAAATAGTTTTCAGTTAGCTTCAGTTAGCTCTTCGCAAGTATATAAACGAATGGAAAATATTTCTTATTTATTTAATTACAATTTTTCTAAAAATGATATTTTTGACTATCTCAAAGTACTTTGTGTGTGTGTGAATTACAAAAACCAATAAACCTTTAATAAATTGTAATATACAGTAAACAATTAACAATTCTTAATGAATTTAAACTAATGTACAAAATCATAATAATTGTAAAAAATTATATTGTTTATATATACATAGATATTAATTTTACAGTATAGTATATTTTAGTTAGTTCCTTTCTTTTTATAATTAATGTTGGCATGCGAAACGGCGAAATATGTTCATTGTACAGCACCATCACCAATATCAACGTTAAACAAGAATATAATGCACAATTTTTTTATCTAGCTACACATATGTATGTATCTATGTTATGTACATCCAAATGTAAGTTAACTTGCATACTCTTTGTTTTGTTTTGCTATCAAATGTCGTGAGAATGTTTAATTTCGAAACACATATCCACACCTATCTTTCACTATATCATACATACACATGTACGTAAGTAAAGGGTGTTTTTTTTTTAGATATGGAATTTTCAAGATGAAATCATACACAAGAATTCAATTTTAGTACAAAGGTATGGGCTTGCCATTACGTTTTAGAAATTATTTCGGGCTAGCGACTTCCCTGGTTGGCTCGAGCTTATTCTAGCCTCGAGGCCTAGTTTCAGCAATAACGCTCCTCTTGCGAGACGGCGTCGTTTTCGGCTCAACTGTGTAGGCAAGCGACTTCACATAACGCCTTGAAAAAAAAATCCAATGTTAAATCGCAAGATATTGGAGACCGTGAGATATTGCCTTTTCCAAAACTAACCTTCAATTAATGGATTGTTTTGGTGACGGTATGACATGTACCGTCTTGTAGGAACCATAGATCGTTCAAGTCAAACATCCTCCAATTCAAAAAGTCATTAATCATGGCTCTCTAGCGTTTCCCATTGACTTCAACATTATGGCCAGCTTCATTTCTGAAGAAATAGAATCAAATGCTTCCTTTGGCACGTACAGCACAAGAAACGGTTTCTTTTTGAGGATGTAATGACGTCTCGACAATGGCTTGTGGATTATCATCAATACAAATTTGACTATTTTATTTAATAAAAGTTTGCTTCCATGCTGAACATAATTTTCTTCCGAAAATCCGAATCGGTGGTCATTTCGTTTTGGGCTAATTCACCGAGCGTGAGTTTGACTATAATTCTTGGAGTTAGTTGGATTTTGTGAGCCCGCAAACCAAAAATCTATCATAAAATGAGTAGGCAGGACTCAAATTGTTGCGCTCGTTGGCAGATGGACTCATTTGGGTCTTCTTTTATAGTCTGCTCCACAGCAGCAATAGCGTCTTCGGTGCGCACTGTACAACGTCTCGGAGGATGCGCATTATCCACTAAAGTAAACGTGGTGGGAAACCGATCCGAGGGGTAACCGCAATTAAGAAAGTTTACTTTCTATAATTTTGGATGTTTATCGATAAAAAAAACCCACCGCTGTTCATCATGAAATGCCAAATCAAATAGAGTGTAAATCAAGTAATAACTGTTAAAAAGAGCAGCTCAGAAAAAAGTATTGCCTCATTGTAAGCCACATGTTTAAAAAAAAACACCCTTTATTATGAATGTAACGGAGTTTTAAATCGCTTTTTAGAGCATTAAACCTCGAAGCTCCCACGGAAAGCTTTTATATAACTGCGTATCCAAAAGAACAAAGCTTGCAATTGATTTTATGTCTTCCTCCCTGTAATTTCGGTAAAAACGACATCCAAAACATTCCGATTATGACGTAACATATGTACGTATATACAGGTGACATGTATGTAGCTATACCATAGTTTCTGTAACATAATAACATCATTGCATCGTTAAAAAATGGCTGTGGTATTATACAATATATATCTATAAATGCAACTGAAACTGTAAATAGCCTCAAAAATATGTATAGATTCTTCGATAAATTCTATAAATAAGGAGAGAAATACAGTTTTTATTTATTTATTTACTTAATTTTTTTTTTAACTGTTGATTTAGATTATGACCGCCACGGTGGAAACAGTCTCCGAACAATTGGATTTAGCTTCTATTCTACCATCAGATAGAGCTATTGCACGCTCTATAACGCTCTCCGATGCGGATGTTGGTGAGTGTTAAATTTTCCTTCAAAATCTCTTCTATCACACGAACACATTGAGAGAGATAGAAATACAGATGAGTAGGAAGACTGAGAAACACACAATGGTTTTTAGAGAGTTAGGCTGCAACTACCCATTTTACTCACCAGCCGTCCATAACTGGCGACGTCGAGGCGAGATAAACACACGAGTTATCGACGCCGCTGAGAGCGGAGAAATGTTGCCAGCTGCCTGTGTGTTTGCACACTTTTGAACAAATTCATAATTTTCGTCAACGAATTTCATAATTTATTTGCTTTAACATAAACACAAGGCAAATATACATGATCTATATAGTAACAAATAATTAGTTACGCATTTAGTTTTCATTTCTTTTGAACAAAACTACGCATTATCTTCGATTATTTAATGTTACTTTAAGAAAGGCTATACTGGCAACCTTGTATAGCAACGAAAAATGAGCCGAGCCGGTTTTACGGAAAAATCAAAACTTCGTTGGTTTCTGCGACATCAGCAACGCTATGGTAAATCGGTGACAACTTTGTGTTTACATGGCGCTCTCATAAGATAGGTTACTATGGACGGCTGGTACGCTCGTTGGGTAGCCTTAGAGTTGAAATCATTTTCACTACCTAAGCCTTTTAGCTAGAATCCTATGATGTCGCTAATGCTTGCTTTTGTTTTAATTCATGTCGTTATCAACTCCGAGAAGCCTTGCTATAACCTGCTTGTAAGAGTTATCGAGTGCTCTAAATTGTAAATCGATTGGAAAAGATACATATGTATGTCTATAATATAAGACACACACAAGACTTATATGCAAAATGTAAGTGTACTGAGGCTCTAATGGTCGAAGGGATTTTATTATCGTCATGTTAGCAACACAGCAGTGCAGTCAGACTTCTCCCCTTTTGCAACGAGCCCAGTTCGAGATCTGTACCATGAGAAATGTCGACGCGACAACACTTTTCGGGAACAATATCAAAACAGACTCCCGCAAATTAGCCTTCAACACCGTCGTGCATCTTTTACATCAAAATTACCGGAAGGACATCGAAGAAACCAAAATTTTTTGAATGATGGAATGTTATACCATCAGGATCATAACCATTATGACTAGCTTACATTTTTGCCTTCATCGATGAAAATTTGTAGAATTTAGAGTATTTTCTCTTTGATGGTGTCCACCTTTGACATGCGCTCGATCCATACTCAATTTTGTGATCAACACTTACCCGTTATCTTATTTATTACAAAATATAATCTTTCTAACGCCAATCACACTTCTAAGAGGTGATCCATTTCGAAGTTCCCTACTTTTTTAAAGAATTTAAATTTAAGATTATCTCTTTCAAATTTTGGCCGCTGCTACTACTCAGATGGTCCATTCATTGATTCCAACTAGCGAATGACACGCGTGATGTTTTGCTTCAGCATTTGAATATCCACACAGGAATAAGTCTAACGGTGTGAAATCACACGATCTTGTTGGCCAATCCACCGGCCTAAAACGTGAAATTATCTGATCTCCGAAGAAGTCTCTTAATAAATCCGCTGATTGCTGTGCTGTGTAGGAATTGGCGCCGTCTTGTTGAAACCAAATGCCGCCGAGATCATGATCTTCGATTTGAGGCATCAAATAGTCGGTTATCATGGCACAATAACTGTTGCCATTGACGGTGATGTTCTCATCGGCATCATTTTTGAAGAAATATGAACCGATAATTCCACCTACCAAATCACACCAGGACGTTGTTTTTTCTGGATGAAATGGCAGCTCGAGAATCTCTTCAGGTTGCTCTTCGTTCCGAATGTGGAAATTCAGCCAGATATGGGCCTCATCGCTAAACAAGAGCAACCCAAAGAGCGAAGCGGAGTCTATGTGGAAGGCATAGCGGCTTCAGTTCTTGTACAAGCTGTATTTTGTACGCTTTCAATTTAGGATCTTGCCGTGAAATACGACACGTCCTTCCATATGTCAGTCCGAGTAGCTCCGTATCAACTCTCCACGGTCTTCGTGCACACTACCAGGTACGGCCGCTATATTTTCTTCACTACATGCTGGACGTGGTCCATTCGGTCGAATGCATTTTGGGTCTCAAGATGGATGATGGTGTTGCGAATAGTACACTCAGTAGACCGATTATGTTGACCATAAATTGAGCGAAGCGTGCGAAACACATTCTTTACAGAACGTGAATTTTCGTAATAAAGTTAACCGATATGTAAACGTTGTTCAGGCGTAAGTCTTTCCATGATTAAATGCCAACAATACCGAAAAATATAACATGACAGCTTGAAATGACCCACGCGTGATCTGTCAAAAAAAGTCTATGGAAAAAAGTACCTCTACTTGGATCACCCGAGATACATATCACTAAGGCCTACCCCTATACTTTGGGTTTGGATTTTTTCATATTAGTAAGACATGCGAAACAGATCAAACTACACTTCAGGGCGAAGTATTAATCAAGCAAATGTGTTGATGAGATATTTTTTACTATTTTGAGCATCTAAGGCTAACTTTTAAAGAAAGAGACACACACATAAAAACTACGGCATCTGGTTGCCAACAACCTTAGGGCTTTAAAATCTTCAGATATCGTTTTGATTTTATCAGACCAGCAATTAGAATAAGAGTTTAGTTAGTATTGGAGTTATATTATATTTTTTAAACCTCCTTATCTTCTTAGGTAGCGCCAACGCGAGTGTAACTAAAGCGTCAGTTATAGGAGAAAATGGCGGCGCAAATGGTAGCACTGGTGGTGGTGCAGGTGAAAATGACAGCGTATCAGATGACGAGAGCGACGAGGAAGATGGCGAAGATTTCTGGCATACTTCGGTTGGAAAATTCAAATTTACATTGGATCAATTGCCACAAACTCTGCAATACATACATCAACTGTTGACGGTGAGGAAGAATTACAGAACGTACCTACATTTAAATAACTAATTATTATTTCTGTTTATTTAATTTCCAGGAAATCCCTACTATAAAGAAACCCGAAATTCTATATTACGTTCTGCAGTGCCTCAATGTAATGGCACTCCATGGCGATGCTCTAGCTAAGGCCGCACGTGAACATCGTGGCTTTTTCATATGGTGTCAGGAAAATCTTCTTATTAAGAAGTATGTATACGGGTTTAAAAAAAAAAATTTTTAGATGTTAATACAATAGGAACAATTTTTTCTTTCCACACCATTTCTTCTAGCCTCTGGGGTCTTTGCAATGCCGAGCATTCACACATCTGTCAGGCTACCGTGCCACTTCTGCTACACTGCATAACTCTCCCGTTGGGCTCTGACGTATTTTGGCGCGTCGTACAGGAGGCCTTTCATGACAACGATTGGCGTGTACGATTCACAGCAGTAGAGCGAGTTACCGTAATTACTCGTTTCATGGACTCGACACCATTGCGCACCGAAGTCGGACTACAGACGGCGCTCGCTACGGCATTTTGTCATCTGATCGCCAGCATGGACGATATCAATGTGTATGTGGCGCAGCGGGCGACGCTCTATATTGGCACCATACATGACACGGCAATTCGGTCACTCCTCTTTTGCTTAGAATCGCAATTTGATTTATTCATAGTAGACCGTCCCGTCGTCTTACAGTCTGTCTATCAGCTACACAATTCTCTATCGGATCGAAAAATTCTCACTTGGGAATTCTTTTTAAATCGCTTCGATACACTTTTCGTGGAAGCGCAAATTAATTTGGAAAAATGTGGTGATATTTCATATCTGCGAGACTTACGAAATTCGGAAAATGGCAGCGAGGCGCTATCGTCTAAGATATTAAAAGCGCGTGAGGCATTGAGTCAATCGGATACCAGTGGTAGCATGGCTAAAACGTTGAGCGCGTCATTTGGTACTAAGTGGCCATATAAGCGCACAATGTCAGCCCCTGCAAGCATGATACCTCGACAAGACTCCAAATTTAGTGAGACATAACTGTAGTTAACACCACTAAACAGTTATACAGCTTATTTCGTTTTTTCTTTTTTGCAGTGCCTGAAAAGGAGAAAATTTACAGCCGCCAAATATCAGCACCCATACTAAAGAGGAAGACGTCACGTTTCGGTTTGGGTCAGTTTTTAGGCTCTAGTGGCAACCAAGCTAATGTTTCTAGTCATAGTTATGCAACCACCAATCATCCACCCACACAGCACGCGCGTGCAGTTCACACCCACTCCCATCCATATTCTCATTCACATACCGCCCAACTGACGACATCCTCAAAACATCATTCTATCCCTTCTGCTTCTACACAACCATGTCCCATACATAATCCCACCACATCCACTTCCCATAGTAATTTCTTCTTTTCCTCCAATTCACCTTCTACATCGATCAACACTTTTGCAGCGCATTTTGCGCAATTTACTGGTAGTAGTGCACATCCATCAGTAACACAACCACAATCTGTAGCTGCAGTATCTGCGTTAGCATCCTCAGCATCACATAGTCAAAGTCATCAGTATTTAGTGCAATGTGTAGCGCCCACACCTAGCCAAACGTTCACAGCACACAGCCCATTGCCGACGCTGCGTGAAGCAGAGCCGCCGCAAGCAAGCGCGCAAATTTTGTCCACTCAAAAAGCATCGCTCCCACCACACCAGCCATCCCACACTTCCTTTCACTCACACTTTCAGAAGCATCCTTCCGCACCGAATCTGTTGCCACCGCCATCGGCAACTACGGTGTTAAGCCCTAGCCCCACAACTACATCCAATCCTGTACTGCATTGTACTTGTGGTGGTGCTGGTGGTGGTGCTGCAAGTGGTTTTGGTGCCAGTGGTAGTGGTGGTGGTGCCGCCATATATGCGCCTACTTCGGCTTACCAAGGTAGGTTGTAGTGCATGCCAAACCCGAAGCTAGTCATTGCATTTCTGTAAATTAATGTATTTTGTTGTGATTTCTTTTTTGGTATTTCTTTTATTATTTAATTTAACAAAGAAGGGAAATATACAGAGCGGACAAGAGTTCCCTGTATATACACAAGTGGCGTTCATATTACGAGAGTTGGTGTTTCACTTTTGAGAGAATTAAATATTTACAATCGGAAATGGATTTCCAAAAGTTCCAAAAGTACCAAGTCAGATCCTCACAGGAATGCTTAACCAAAGTTGAAAAGTAAATGCTTTTTCAGGTCTTTGGAGCGTTGGCAAGTCGCCCAGTAATTCTGGAAAAAAACGAACACGCCTAAAATATTTGATTAGCGTTTGGAACATACTAATCTAGTCACATGTGAACACTCAAACATCACCCCTCGTAATGGAGCCATAACGCCTTTTGAATTTTCAGTTCTTTATATTGTACATTGTAAAAAAAAAATCATTTATATAGTATTGTATATCTAAGTGTACTTTAGTTACCGCTATATCTCTGTTGCAGTCATCTCGAAGACACCATCTTTTTCAACCCTGAAATCTGTTTACATTACGTCTTCTCTAGTAAAAGCATGCAAATTTGGTCCGACACTTGGTGCTAGCTCTACAAGTGAATTGTTTATACATACATATATGTTGTGCCATTTTTAATTTTTAACCGGAAAGGCAAGGGTATATTTTATTTCTGATTTCACAAATATCCTTCCCAATTTTATAAAAGTCTCCCCTGAATATTCTTAATCCACGTAAACTCTGCCATGCATATAAGGTATAATAACGCATACCTACTATTTTACCCAAGGGTTAACACAATCATAAATATAACATATTTAAAGGTTATGATGAAATATTGATAACCGGTTTTTACGGTTGGCTTCCATTTTCAAAATATTCGCCATTTTATTTATATGTTTTTTTTTTTACCTATTACAAATAAACGCTGTTTTCTCAATCAATATTTTCTGCTTCAGTTGAGACGAGGCTTTTGAAGTCCCAGACTAACGAATCCAACATCTTTTCGAAATTCAAAATCGCAGATCCAATATGGCGGTTAAATTTTTTAATCTATTAAAATCACTTGAAACTCGATACTCAAGAGGTTTTTGGGGTCGCTAATTACGAATATGTTATTGATTTTCCCACATTCAAATTTTATTTAATATTTAGTATATTATAAATAAATTTAAGAATATATATAAAAAATAATTGTTTGAAAAGGAATGTAGCAAATTTTATAGTGATTTTTCACAAATTTTCCGCAAACTTTTAACATTTATCTTTATGGAGTTTTTTATTTTCATTCACTGACTGCTCTATATTGTCATCGTTCTCTTGCAAACTTAAACAAATGTCACCCAAAAGAGCATGCAGATTTTTGCCGCTGTAACAGTGTTCAAACCTAGCCGCTGCTTGATGAAAACGCTCGCCCACATCATTGGATTCGGTTCCAAGATTCGGCTCAGTGATTTTTTTCACACAGCTATGCAAAGATGGAATTTTTAATGGCATTCGAACATTTAAACGGTGAAAAGCAGTAAGCAGGTCGTCAATTAGTATGCGCCCATTTTCGGATCAATGAATTTCGAAAACATTGTCAATGAGCGCTTTCATATAATTCCATGTCACAAGCTCTATACGAGGCATTTCTTTTCAAATGGTTCGTCCTTCATCAAACGACGAATGTCCGGTCCATTAAATATTTCTGTAAGGAAACAATACAATGAAATAAAATATCAATTGATCAGTATTCTAGACCCGATAGAGTCGAATTCATACTTTTATTTATTTTCATCCCGCTCAACCATGGAAAAATATAATACAACGTAATACGTTGAATTCATTTCTTACTGGATTTAATGCTTATACGAAACCTTTGACAATTCCTAGTTTTATTTGGAGCGGTGGTAGCAGAACAAGTAGAGTCTCTATATTGTTGTTTTCCGAATTCTAACTGCCTCACGTAAGGGTATAACCCAAAGTATATCTCCTTAAAGAGCCACCGTTTGCGTAGGTCGGCACAAATATTCCACTTATGGTGATGCATAAGTCTCTTTTGTATAAGTCCTCAGAGCAATCGGGATGGCATTTTTGAGTTGGTGAAGTGTAACAGGAACTGAAAAGTACTTTGTCAGGGAATTTTTTTATAATTCAATCGATATTTAAAAGTGTTGTCTGCCTCCCCAAATAACGATACAGTAATAACTTTTTTTTAACATTTATCTCCATGATTAGCATTGAGTACTGTCATTCAAAAGGCCATGATTCGAGTCCTGGTCCGACCAACATCCAAAAATTATAGAAAATTTATTTTTCTAATAGCGGTAGCCCCTCGGCAGACCAGGTCAAGACCTCCGAGTTTATTTATGTCATGAAACAACTGCTTTGCATAAGAAAACCACCAGCCGTTCGGAGGCGACTTAACATAAACTGTTGGTCTCCCCATTTGTTGCTTAAACATCAAGACGCACCGCGTGGCGAAACTAAATTAAAATATAATAGACCGTTAGCTAGTGCTGCTCTTTACAAGGTTAGTAAATCTCTTCTCTTTTTGCGCGTTTGACTTGCTGCGAGGGCCAAGGTTCTGACCCATAACAGAATTCGATACATCCATATTAGTTTTATGGTCGCTTTACCAGGTGTGACAATTAAGTAATGGATGATTCCATAAAAATCGTATATTTAAAAATTATTCTACACCTCTGCCATCCCATTAAAAGTAGTCCCCTCGTCTGGATGTCCACAACTGACTTAAAGTGGGTTCCTTTGACCAACAATTTTGTTCTAGGGAACATATCGGGTGAATAAGGTGGTTGATGCAACACAGCGATCTCTTTAGAGGCCAAATACTGGGGCACACTGAGGGTGGGTGGAATGGCGCGTTGTCGAAATGATGGACGCAGTTACGAGCGATATCTAAGCGCACCCTATTGACTCGTTTTCGCAATCCTTCGAGTACTTGGCGATAGTAGACTTGATTTACGATTTGCCTCGGTGGAAGAAATTCTTTGCGGACGATTCCACGGTTTCATGGGAGCTCTCACGCTTTCACGCCCTTCCTTTAAATCTTTAAGCCATTGAAATACCTGGGCACGACTAAGAGCACTATCACCATGCGCGTTTACAATTTTAGCGTACGTTTCCGAAGCTGTTTCGCAAAATTTTATCGCGACACGTTGCTCTTGATTTCGTTTTTCCATTTTCGAGGCGAATAGCACGAACGCACCAGGCGAACTAAATAAGCTATGGCAAATATATAAATTGAGAGGAGAAGGATGTCAGGAGAATGAAAATAAAAACATACCACAGCTTCTCAAATGCTTGAGCCACATTAAGAGAAACGGCCGAACAATACTCTCTGAATTCGAAACTCCCCTTATTTTATTTGTTATACGATTCACTTGTACTATTGTTTTCCGCTAAAACCAAATTGCACTTTTTCGAAAAGTTTGAAAAGACAGGGCAACAGGCTGATGGCTCTAAATGGCAAAGAGACAATTCACCTCCTATTGGCCAGAGCTGCGCACTTCTTTGTAAATTGCTGCCTTGAGACGGTCCAATCACCGATAGTACAGGTGCGAATCAAGATCAAGGTCAAACGACCATAGGGGAGAAACTCATAGTGGATAATTTCTTGGCAATGCCAGTAAACACACAACAAAACCTTCCTGGTCGTCAAACCTGGCTTTGAAACTGTTTGTTGGCGGTTCACTACCTTTCGACCACGACCGTTTTCCTTTGACGTTGCTGTGTGTTATCCACTTTTCATTACCAGTCACCATCCGCATCAAAAATGGGTCGATTTTGTTACGATCCAGCAGCGATTCGTAGATGGAAATTCCATCCTTAAGGTTTCTTCTCCTTAACTCATGTGGTACCCATAACCTATGCCGTTTTCAAGGGAACAATCTTTAGCTGCTAGGCAATCGAAATAGTGCTCGAATGACGGTCAGACTTGTCATCGACATTTTCAATAACTGGCCTTCCACACTGTCGAGAATCTTTTAGATCGAAATTGCCGGAACGAAATCGACGAAACCGAAATTGGTTGTTACAATATCAGTGCCATAAACAGTAATCACTTTTTAGTTCCCTAATCCCTGCCCATCTTTTATGTGCCCTCAAAAACTACTTAGTTAAGTTATCAACACTTCTTCCGTTGTCTAACGTAATCGAATTTTTCTCTTTGTTACCGCCAAAGCGATTATGGGCCGAGCCCCACCTGCGATTTGTCGTATGCGACTTGAAGTTTTTCTAATAAATATTAGGACCTATAGTATATTGTGAGCCACCATCGAGCGGCTAATGGGGGGGGGGAGTTGACATTCCTCCACGAAGGTCGGCCGCAAACAGAAAAAAATAATTTGCTTTACTTTTGGATGTCAGTGTGGCCAGGAATCAAAGCCATGACCCTTCATTTGGTAGTACGCAGGGCTAACCACCGGCTAATGCGGTCGTCATTACTCATTTTATTTAGTATAGAGCTGTCTGTAATATTATATGTTATTTTTATTTTTATTTTTATTTTGATTCAGAACTTAAATCATAAATATTTAATATTTATTGATTTAAATAGTAAGTTTTCAAAGTACCGTGTACATATAATTTTTTACTTTTTGTATTCATATCAATATATACATATGTATGTATGTATATATTTTATTCATTTGTTACAGTGGTGTTGTGTTGTAAAGAATTCTATAAAGGATGTCCTCATTCATGTCATTTTCATTAGCACGACTCTGTTGGTTTAATGTCTAATTCAAAACTAACGGTACCTAAATGTTATATCAATGTTTCCCCATTTCAATTTAGTAGTATAATAAACACATTGCAGCGAACTCATTATCTAACTCGAAATCGCCACCGAATCAAAATTTCCTCGGTCACACAGCATTCCGAGTTAGAAAATTTCAGTGGCTGCTGCTCCTCCTCAAAGTGCCAATGTATCAATGTATACTTGTACTTCTATGCTGGTATGTATGTATGTATTCTTTTAAGCTTGCTTATATAATATTTATAGAAAGAATGAAAATCTAGAATTACGTGTCTAAATGGATTATCAAAAAACAAAAAATCTGTAAATAAATATAAAAAAATCTCTGCATTGGTCAAAAAAAAAAAATCGTGTTTCTTATTGAAGCCTCTAAATTTCCGAAAAGTAAAAAATATTCCAATTCACTTTCGAACAGATGGACATATTCATTCTCTCGGCGGCATTAATGATGACAACCTTATTGGACTGTTGAGTCGTATCACTGAGCTGGAGGAGTCCGACCGCGAAACAATACATTTGCTCGTCTTTTTACTAATGCAATTCATGTCGCGCACCGATCAGGCATTTCCCTCTGAAGACAAACCGGTATCCAAGACACAAAATATTGTGCTGAAGCATTTATTTCTGCTTTTGGGTCACAATCAAATTGACAAAACCTTCCACACACCACCGGAGAATCTGCGGTAAGTTGCAATAGAAGATGATTTTGATTCGTCAATTAATTAACTTTTCCTGCACAGCACCTCGGCGGTCTTCAATGCATTTCTGGCAAATCTGCCACAAGTGCTGGATCAAAATCATTTAATCGGCGGTCTTATTTTGCCCTCAATCATGCAGATTATATTGTACGCACCCAACCCCAGTAATACGGCAGCCGATTGTTATCAAAATTTGGTGTTCAACTACTCGCTGTGGTATTTGGAACAATATCCTCGTCGAAATTGGATGTTAACTATACTAGTAGTTCTCTATAAGTACTCGTATACTCAACCACCCTACAGCGCATATGTAATATCTGCAATGCGTATGGTCATGAATAGTCTCCGCAATCATTTTCATCAATGCCGTCGCATACCGACCACTACTATTTTGGATATACAGGGAACTTCGCGTTCACGCGATGTTAGTCAACCATCATTGGGTACAGATCCCGATGAGAAGGATCCCAGTCCTCCGGCTAGTCCAATGTTTCCTTCAGAAGGTACAAGTGCCGCCTCAAAGAGCAAAGGTCAAAATGTTGCATTTACGCCAAAGCTGCAGCATGCATTCCGTAAATACAATGACTCTAGCTTGGAAGCAGACGAAACGGAATCTGAGCTGGTTGCGATACCAGAAAGTGATTTGTCAGACAGCACCTTACATGGCAGCAGTGCACCGGTAAGTGATATTGAGAGTTCGTATTTATATTTTCAAATGATAACTGCTGAACATTTCTCAATAGGGTTCGTTTGACGATACTATACACTTTGAGGAAACATCATTGACGAAGGGCGATATGCAGCGAGCGCGTGCAGTACGTGGCATGGAATATGAAGATGTGATTTGACTTATATATGTTAATGCATTGATAAAACACCAATAATGATGATTTCCCTTTCTTATTGCTTATTTAGAAAACTGCGAAGCCGCACCACAAGTCGATGATTACGACCAAAACTGGCGACACCTACACAACAAAAATTAGAGCAACTGGCGCACAGGAAGCAGTCAGTACTACGGTCATCACAACGCATGCACGTCATAGTCTCCAAGAAGGTGTTCGTATGATCGTAACACCGCTTGTGAGCACCGATACTGCAGCAGAGTCTGCGATTGTCAGCCCACCTATTGACGTACATCGTGCTGTTACCGTACGTAATAAGTCGTTGGAAAATGCTGCAGCATCTACATCAAAAATGTTTGCCGCAATCGCTACCAATCATCTGAAGGCTTTAGGTGCACTTCAAGATGTACAAACTAAGTCTAGCGAGAGTCACTCTAAATCTGTGACTGCTAGCAACAACAGCAGGTCAACCAACAGTAGTGCTGACAGTTCGGACAAGCGACAGCAGCAGCAACAACAACAACAACAACAACAACAAATTACATTTCATCAAATACAAAATCAGCAGCAAGTACAACAACAACAGCAGCAGTCGCAACACCAGCAAGCTCTGTCGAAAAAACCCATTGGCAGACACAAGACCATCATCGAATGCAGCGCTGGTACCTCATCATCTTCCACCGGTACGGATGATTCACGACTAAGCGCTAATCATAAAAAACCAGCCGGCAAGTCTCTAAAGCGTTCCGACAAAGCATACGGCTCACCTGATTCACCACTCTCCAAAATGAGTGTCATGCCCAACCCCGTCGATGAAGTAGACACCACCAAGATACCAACTCTGAAGAATATAGCGACACTAGAAATACCTACACCAGAACGATTACTACCGATTGGCACACACGAGTCTGTTGGAGGGATAGTCGATCGATTGCGGGACGGTCTGAACTTACCGGATATAAGTCATCTGAAGCAGGATAGTCTCGATGTATCGGATAGCACCAAAGACGACATAACGCCCAGTAGTCGCACCACATCGCCACGTCGTCTCATCAAGCAAGTCGCACTTGAATCACCACCGAATGCAAGCGCTGCTGGACAACAGGACTTGCATTCTTCTATATTGAAAAGTGTTATGCAGGAGGTAAAAACAACCACTAGTGCTACTGCCACTGCAAGTATAAGTGGCATACAAACGGCAACAAGGCCAGAGGCTCCCAAACGTCCACGTCAGAAATTGGCACCCTTCAATGTCGATACTAATGCTATGCCCGATATACGATCTCGTTTTGCAGGTGCATGGCCACCTCCACCATATCAGCCGCCCGAAGAACTGGACGTCGATATAGATGATGGCATTGAGAATGGCAATGGGCATAGCGGTGCGACAGCACAACCGAATCGTGTGGTAATTGCGGACCTATGCTCACCATATCGCACAAGTTTGACTTATTTATCTTCTTTCCCAGAGTACTCGCCGTGTAGGAGATTATACGATTTGTGATCGATGCACTGATTGTGGCGCCTTAATTGAGGAATACACGGATGAAGATATTGGACTTTTAATAGTCATATTAGGAACTTTCATACACCGTGAGCCAGCGATGGCAGCGCCATTTTTACCGGAAATTCTTACCATTGCTTCAAAGTATGGACATGATTTGTAATTGAATTTTAGTACCATTAATTTCCTGCTATCCACAGAACTTGTTTGACCTCGACGCACTCCTGGCAGGGTGAGAATGGACCAGCTTTGGTGTGCAGTGCACAAGCTGTGTCATTACAATTCATTCGCTGCGTGCTGCATCAATTAGCGCCCAATGGCATCTTTGTGCAAATCTTCCAAACGCAAGTAAAGAGTAAGTAGGATCTTTGAAAAGAAATAATAAAAAACTTAGATAACGCTCTTTTCCTTTCCCATATGTGTTTGTATCTATAGTGAAGGTGCGCCAAAACTCTTTTCGCAGTATTGCACGCGCTCTCCAGGACTTTCAAGAACTAAACGCAACACATCCCATTTATATGGTTTGCGAATCATTGCAATCGAAGAAATCATTACCAATTGAACAGCTGCCAGTGATCTTTCGAAACATGGCCGAGTACCTACATTGCGTACCGACGGAATTGACTACTGGTCCGGGCGTGTGGCAACAGGCTATGCAAGCCATGGAGTCCTTGCTGCGGCAAGTTATTGTCCTTCTACCAAATCTTGGCAATCCTGAACATTTACTTGATATAATGGTAGCTACTTTGAAGCTTAACATTGTGCAAAAACCCCTACTTGATCCCTACTCGAAAATAATTGGATTTTGTGTGCAGAATACAAACTTAGAGTACAACTCATTGTATGAACTGTGCACTCTCAACATGCGTTCTTTCTCGAAGGATCGCGACAAGATGCTGCTATGTCGGCAATTAATTTTCGAATTTGTCCAGGCGTTGAAATTTAAAACTAATATTCCCGATAACAATTTGTTAATGATCATTGGGTTTGTATTGCATGATGCTGGCGGTACCCTACCGCCCGGAACCATAGCTGGGTTGCCGGAGATCGCGCCACCGTTGACCACCAATGCTGCAGATTGTATGCGACAGTATGTCAATGACGTAATTGACTTTCTAGCAGACTTTCATACACTGAGTAAAATCAAAGTGAGTTTTTGGAAGCTTAAGTTCGTAATATAACATTAACCACGAACATCTATTCCATATAGAATTTTAAAAATGGACAGGTTCAAAATGGTTTGGGAGAGGATACTCTAGGTGGCATATTAAAGGGAGCTGTGGCTCAATATCTGGCTTTAGAAATGTCACGCGGTAATACGCGTGACAATAAGAGCAGCTCACGTTATTTACCCTGGCTCAATAATGCACCTTCATCACTGCAGCAAGGGTAAGTTACAGTAATAAAACTTTGTACATAAATTTAATATAATTTTATTACTGCAGCCCTAAGGAATTCACTGAATGTGTTGGTCATATGCGTTTACTCTCCTGGCTATTGCTTGGCTCACTTACACACCTCGCTCTAACGCAACGGCGGAGCGAACGTTTTGCCGTTCCCATACCGCCGCAGCAAGTACCAACAACCGTACCACCGGCGGCAGTACATTATCAACATCATCATCAGCACCCAAGCGGCATGGCACCGTTTGCTATGCCCGTCTCACAGGAGTCGTCGTGTCACATTGCCGATCACATACAAGTAATTTTCGCTGGTTTCGCAGAGCAATCGAAGACATCAGTTATGCACATGTCCTCGCTCTTCCATGCCTTCACTTTGTGTCAGTTATGGACAGTGTATTTGGAACATGTCGCTCGCTCATCTAGCAATGCTGAGGGCAATACCATGGGTGTGCTTTTCGAATTTTGGGCAAAAGTAACGCCATGCATACTGCAATTGGTATCGCATGCTCGTCCACAAAAAGAGAGTCCTGGTGGTGTGATTGGTGCTGGAGGTGTTGCTGATTTTTCACAGAATCCAAGTGCGAAGGTAAATTTAAATTATTTATTCGTGAATTCATCATATTTAGTAAATTTATTTAATTTGTAATTATGACCTATTCAAATGGATTGGATTGAGTTGTCATTATTAATTGGTACTACGTCATTAAGATTAATAATAAGCTATAAATCGGCAATTATCAATTATTTAGTTGTTGATCGAAAAATTAATCGTATTTGTGTACAGGTCATAAATCTTCTAGACCAGTGCTGTCCAAATTCTATTTTGGCGTGGCCACAGAAGTGACCAGCAGACTATTCAATGGCCACTTTATCCAAAACCTTAGAAAAACAGTGAAAACAAGTTGAAATTACGTTTCTTGCATTTGGGTGTTAAACTTGGCAATTTCGACTAAGACGACGGACAGCCAAAAAAATTTCAAGTCGAAGAATTGGAGACATTGCTCGATGCAGATGCATGCCAGACGCAAGAAGAACTTACAAAAGTATTAGGAGTTGATCAAGCAACCGTTTCCAGACGATTAAAATCCTTATTTCACAATAAAGTCTTAATTTTCGAAAAAAAAAACCGCACGAATTAACGCATACACACAATATTTTCGATTGGTAATGCGACGTATGACATTTTTCTATTTTCCATGAGTTAAAATTAATCGAAACAATGATTGTTTATTTAAGATTAATGCGACGATATTCTTTTTTTTCTGTCAATTTATCAAAGTCTGGCATCGATTGGATTAGTTTGCAACGAAGTTCGGATTACAAATTCTGTTGCAATATTATATTGCGGTATTTATTTTTACGTCGCGCGAGACTTGAGAATGATGCTTCACAAACGTATGTGGATCGCAACATGCATAAAAACTTTGAGTGCCAAGAAATTGCATTCAGATAACAAACGTCTTCACAATGCATCGCCCGTTTCATTTGGCAAGCCACTTTCTTCATTTATCAACGAAATATCGAATTCAAAATGTGTTTTCTTTGTTCGGAAAATATCTGAAAATTTTTGAATATTATTTTGGTCCCAAACGAATGGGTTTTTAAAAATTTGAATGCCAACTGAAACTTTTGGAAATCTTCAAATCCAAATCAATATGAATGAAAATATTCGTATCATACACAACCTAGCTTAAAATCTTCATTATATTGATTTGTGTCAAACACTGGGAAGAAAGTAAAATCTTTTGCGTCAATTTGTTTTTTAAATGCGACCCAAAAGAATTTATTCTTTCCTTGTAGCCTCACATTCAACTCGTTCAAATGTTTCGTAATATCGTCAAAAAAGTACTGTTTTTCTTTCCAGGTAAGTGTCGATATTTCACTAAATTCTACATCCAAGTGTTGTTCCATGAGAAATAGTCTGACTCATCAAAAAGTTTATGTTTAGGAAAATAAAGCGACGACGCGAATGCAACGGTCCATACGGCTAACTACTGTTTGTCTTATTATTGTCAAGATGAAATCGCCTAGGGTAACATTTTAAATCGTTTTTTTGGAAAAAATTTTAATCGTTATTTGAAAAATATAAGTTGGCCACTGAAATTTGTCGCTTGGCCACAAGTGGCCACTAGTTTGGACAGCACTGTTCTAGCCTCTAGAATTCATTTCGCAACTTAGTTGGTAATCCCACAAAAACCCTATCAGTCATTGAAACAGGCCTATTCTGTCGAGGTAACAAAATTTACTTTGGTATCAAAATTTACCATTCAGTAAATTTTGTTACTATTTCGTATTCTAAGTTCACTGTCACCCTGTAAATTTTTTTACCAGCGAAATAGGAGGTAACAAAAATATCTGCTGTTTGATTTTGTGTTGTAAGTTTGAGGAAAAATAAAAAACCAAAACTGATAGGCATAGTTTAGGCCTGGAATTCATTGAAGATTGAAGACCGTATTTAAAGAAGTTTTCGAGACTAAAAAATCGCCCTTTAATTTGTAAGATAACGAACGTTTTCATTTAGCTTTTTTTGTTGTCCAGGCATATTTTCCATAATTAGGCTCAAATATTTATGATTTAATAAACAAATTATTAAAACATTAGAATATTTTTCTTTTTACTTTACCAACTGGCAAATGTAATTTAACATGGACAAAAAAAGCAGTGCTGCCAAAGTTGTTTCAAACATTGTAACCAGTTCGCCAGAATACCAAATTCAATTTCGGGTGTTAAAGAAAAGTAACAAAATTTACCTTACCGGTAACAGTGAGAATAGGCGTGATAATGAATGAAAATATTATATTATTCAAAACGCAAAGAACTTGTTTTGCAATAATTTTTTATATACAGTGCAGCACCCACTGATTATTTGAACGTTAAGCTTTGGAAAACAAAGTTAGAAGAATCACATCAATTTAAATGATAATGTTGTATTGTTAAAAAACTCATTTAATATTTAATTTATTTATTTTCTTGATAAACTCTCGAACTTTACAATTTCTACAAATTTTGTAAATTTAATTTCATTTATATTTATTGTATTTTTTTTTTTTTATTAATTTTTATACAGAGTCCCAATGCCAAGGTGAGTTAACCCTGTTATTTATTTGTTTAATTTCTCCAAAAAAGTGTGATTTATGTACGTTTATAATTGAAAAGAAATTTTAAATTTTTTGGGAAAAATTTTGCATGATGAATTTAATAAACGAGTTACTGTTATTTACATTTTATATATTCTCTATTTTTGTCATCTTTCAATTCTATTTTTATTTTATTTTATTTTTTAATATATAATTTTTGTTATTTATTTTTTTATATACAATTTTTTTATATAATTTTATATCTTTTTATATATAATTTATTTTATCTTTTTTTTAATTGTGCTTATCCCTATACATAAATTTAAATTCATTCGTTCCAGCTCTCTGAAATGGTGAATCTTCACTTTCTTAGCCTTCTTGAAGCACTAAAAGAGACGAATTCTACAATATTAGGCAAACTCTTACCACTATGGAGTCCAGTATTGTCATCTCAGACGCAGGTGAAAATAACATAGTACATACATATTATATGTATATCTCGCTTAAAAACTTTAATACAATAAATACTTTTTACAGTTATCCGATACTCTACATGTACGTTTGCAAAATGTACGGGACTATGCGCCTGATTATGAGGAACAACAAACACATCCTTCGGACGCATTGCTTAAATGGCTACAGAGGTTACAATTCAAAATGGGCCAAATAGAATTGCAAGCCTCAACAGCAACACAATTTTATTCAATTTAAAATATATACGTTATATTGGAAATTCTATAAATCTGTGTACTTTATTGAAATCACAACCCTACGTACATTTGTATATTAAAAATATGCATTTTAGAAATTTAAAATAATTCACGTTCTTGAATGGTTTTATGTGAGTTAAAATAGAAACATAGTTGTCATTACATGTTCAACATATAAACGCTCCCAGACGAGCAGCTAATAAATTAACGTAAAGAAATATAAATAGACTAGTTATTAATTGTATATCGTATATGTAACACCACCACCAGACTTTTCCTCGTCTAAAGGGTCATGTACCTCATCATCTTCATTGAATTTCGCTTCACCTTCGATATGTACCACCGGTGTGCGGTAAGTGTTAAAAGCAGCACTGGATTTTAGCTCGTTCTCTGTAGGCAGTTCAAGCCCTCGGTGGCCCAACCGCGCCAATCGTGCCGCTAGCCGTTCTTCTGCTTGCTTCTCTTGCAATTCCTATTTTTTTAAATTAAACACAAATATTATATTAATAAATACGTATATAGTAATTTTCGGCATATACAAATTTTCACTCACTTTTATTTTTGTTAAATAATTAGATTGTAATTCAACTGAATCAAGTAATGTGAGCATTTTGGCTCCACTATGCTGTATAAATGGAGGTGTTGCAGCTGTGACTTCCCAATGTTTGCCTTTCTTACGTATCCGTTCCTTGGATGGATTATGCACATCAGTAAGCGTTGTCTTGTAAGGTTTGTATTTTTCACGTTGCGGCACTACTTGTTGTTCAGTTTTTTCTACAAGGTACCGTACATGCTGTTCCACATCCAATTGCGCAGGTGTGCTGGAACGACTATCTTCACTAATAGAACTAGATTTTGATGACAGAGGTTTTTCTGCAATGCTTTGTATTTTTGACTTTATTTTCGGCAACTTTTCGCTTATGTCGATCTCTACAACATGTACGTCCACCACTTTATCAATTTCTTTACTTTCGCAAACTGCACTCCCTTCACCAGCGACTGAATTCCTAATTTCACTTTTGAAAGATTCAATTTCAGCTAAATCTGCTTCCGTTATTAGCTTTGACTCTGGTTCTAGCACTTTAGTGCGCCTTTCGTGCATTGTGCGTTGAGCTATCACACGTAGCGGATCAAGTTCTTCTTCATCATCACTATCCAAAACATCTTCGATAGATTCTCCATCATTTATGTTATTTACATTACCATTCCATTCAAGACTGTTAAGTACATCTTCTCCTTTGGAAACTATATTTAATTCTGAGAACATACTTGCCGCTTCATCGATATTTGAGCGTCGATCAAGCTCAGTTATCACTTTTTCGTATAAATCTTGAATGCGTTTTCCTTTATCAGGTAACCTTTTTAAGTTAGATCTGTTCAAATAAGAATTAATGCCATGTTTTTAAAAAGATATTTATTTACACTTACTTATTAGCCAATAATTTGCTTTGTCTTTCTTTGAGGTCTAACAATTCTAAGCGAGTAAGTTTCCTTAAATCCTTAACAGAATTATCTTGTTTGATAGTTGGTGCAACTGCTGGAATTCTGTTCATTGGAGGCCTGTTGATTGTAGCCATTATGAACAAGTAAATATCTATGCAAAATCAAATTATAATGAGCATTGAAGTATCGAATGTAAATCTGAAACCTTTTAAACCGCAATAAAAACAACAGCTGCTGGATGCAGTGCTATCGTATCTATTGTGATTACTTTTCCTAGTTCAGCCCAAAGTGCCAAGGCAAATTCATAAAATATTTTCTGACAACTAAAGAATATTCTAGAGCTCAAGTATCAAATAGTCTGTAAATCGTGAGAGCATTCCACAAATTTTCAGAGCTGCAGTGCAATTCTGTAACTTTTATCGACACGATTTGTCGGATCGCAAAGTTACGAATTTTGTCGCTTGCGCTAACGATTATGTGATTCTCTAACGCAGTTGTTACGATAATCGACATCGCACATTTCCATTTTATTAAAATGTAGGAAAGGTGGCACCACAGCTCAACGAAACGTCAAAATGTAC